TTTGTTTGAAGTATGTCAATCATTGATGTTTAAGACCAGTTCATCTGCGCATTAGGAATGCAAAAATGATGCCCTATACACACTTTAAACTTAATAAATATGTAAAACTCAATTAAAGCATAATTTCCCTGAATGTTAGGATAGGAAGGTTCGACTTCTTAGTGTTTGCTAAATTGTATTCTAGATACCCATCTTCCTAGAGAATGTTCCGAAATGAAAACGTCAAATTTGAAGAGTGGAGTTTACAACATATATCCCTTTGATTCACCTCTAGCTGTACCAGTGTTTTGTGATATGACGACAGAAAACAAAAGATGGACGGTATACCTATAGTATATGTGAAGGTTAAATCATTCATATAATTATCCAGATCTCATTAGACATGTTCATCAACTTTCGACACCGACTAATGACTCCTTCAGTTTACCATGTTTACTGGTGAAATGGATGGGTCTTATAAAAGAATAAAAACATTCATGAATTTAACTACAGTTGTATATATACATATTTGATATGATGAAGCTAAAATGCTTTTGATGTGATGGACCCAAATACTTTTGATATGATGGAGCTAAAATGCTTTACCTCACATTTTATTAGAAAGCTTTTTTTTCTCAAATCCCTTTCCCTCATTTAATTTATATTTGTGCGCTCCAATTTTTCATGTATATATTAGACAATAAAACAAAAATATCTTAATCGTCTAGCAGTATATGTTTTCAAATGTTTAGGTAAAAAAAAAATATTTTGAGAATTTAACAGCTGACATAGAATACAAAAACTGCATAATATGTCTTTTTTTAAAAATTTAAAACCTACTACAATTTGCCTCGGTAATGACATGACATACCTTTCTAAAATTCCCCGTTGATATGATAGGATATTAGATGGAAACTAAGGCTCCAATTCCGTCAAGCAAAGTTGACCTAAGTGGATTTGGTTATTCTGTTAAGTTGCCTTTCTGTCATATTTTTCTAGTACTTATACATCTTTGCATTTAAAAACTTGGGTTTGAATATTCCTTATGAAGATAAATCTAGAAAAATGTTTGATCGGATGCACAAAATTCATAAAAGGTTATTTTTAATATTCAGGTAATACAAAGAAGATACAATGGGTCTGTTGATTTTCTACAGAAACTGGACGGCTTATAAAGAGGGTTTAAGTTTTGTAAATGGAGAATATTGGTTGGGTATGTATACAATTATTGCGTTTACAAAGAGGTAATGAAAGGTGAAATATGCTAAATAACATGTCGAAGATACCAATAAAATTAAGTTGAAGGATAATAATAAATCGACACACTGCGGCGGAAGTGCAAATGCTTTAATATAGTTAAAATCAGTACAGCCGCTTCTTTACTAAAAATACATTAACCGATATTTTCTTAAATTTCACCGAAGCTTAGGAAAATATAGAACAGATTTTCTCGGGTCTTTCAACTAGCGGAGTTTTCTCGGTTCATCACATCGTAGGACCATCACCCTTCGATGAGGTTTCTTCCAGTTTTCAAAATCATAGATAATCTATAAATTGTGAAAGAAAATACTGCATGGATACACATCGTACAACAATCAACGAAATACATAGAAATAGACCAAAAGGAACAAGGCTTCAGTTAGTGTTCTTCTTAAGGAAATTTGTCGTAAAGTCGTCATAGACAAATTGTGAGAATTACGAATTGTAATAAGGTAAAATTCTATGGTAAAGCGAAGAATGATGGGGAGAAGAAGTATGAATTAAGTTTGTCCTGTATGTGATAATAATACAATGCCAATATTGTATTTCACATGTATAACTCATTTCAAATTTGATTCTTTTCATCGTTAATGGAAATGATATCTAACCAAACACATCCTGCTTATGAAGACATATTCTTTTTTTCTGATCTGTTTTGTTTGACGGAAACATATCTAACCTAACGTTTAATTAACTAGGCGTATTGCTATACACAATTTGCATTCCTTTGTTAAGGTTCTTCTTCTTTTTATACAGGTAACGATATGATTCATCGGATAACATCAAATGGTAACCACGAGCTTCGAATCGATCTATCAGACTTTGAGGGCACTCATAAGTATGCAAAGTATTCGAGCTTCAATGTTGGTGATGAGTGGAGTGAATATCCATTGCATGTGGCGAATTATTCAGGGGACGTAGGTATGATGAACATAATTTAAGAATAAAAAGAGACATTAAATGAATAACGAAATAAATAACCTCATACATATCACAAACACATGAAGGGGACTGAGAAAAAAACAGACAAAACCATGAAAACAAGAAATGCCGAACAAAAAAAAAAAAAAAAAAAAAACAACCCACAAAACAATGGCCCAAAAAAAAAAAAAGAAAAGAAAGAATAACATGAACCCACAATAAATTCCGGATTTGCATTCTGTGGTCAAGAATAGTCAGCAGTTACGGCTCAAATAGTCTCACCGTCATGGTTCTTTTGTAAAAATATGTTCAAGCGTACCATACATAATATATTGGTAGATATATTGTCTCTTGACCTACGGCATAATAAAATTGAAAAGAGGTGAATATTATTTGTCGAAGTTTAAAGAAGGATTTTCAAACCTTAGTTTAAATAGAATTGAGAAATTTCTGAACTTTCACCAATAAATTAAAACAATTGATAAGTGATAGCAATAATATATCAATAGGTGATAGTATTTGTGGCGACTGATAGTCTATCATTAGCGAAGTAGAGGTGGACAAAACCCGTATGATATCGATTTCTAAACTGCAATAAATATCTGCTCATGACATCAAGTAGCAATGCATATTAGTAGTTTACAGACAAAAAAAATAGTGACAATGCAAAGTTTAACACAATTATTCAGTCTCTACGTCCCAATCATCGATACAAGAACGGCTCATTCACTAATTTTTATGATATATACTCCTCCAAAAATATATTCGTAGAAACTACTTATCAAATTCCTTCATTAAAGTTTACATGGTGATAGCTATACTGTCTACATTTACGAAACGTTTTCTAATACATGAAACAATTGTCTGCAAGGGTATTTAGCTGGTTAGTCTGTAACCCTAAGGTCTGCATCGTAACACAACAACCACACAGTTGACGGTAAAACATTCATATACACGAGTGCAACCAGTTTACCAAATCGGCGTTCAAGCGATAATTTTTATTAATTACTGAACCAAACTCTTCGCCAATTTTTAAGATCCATAGTACAGTATTTTCGTATATATGAATATTACGCGTCGATGTTCCGTCTTCGGACATTGTAAAGCCGAATGGTTTGACGTTCACTTCCACGTGGCCAATTGGGTATTTTGTGTGATGGCATAGTTTGAACCAACGCTGTTATATTGCACATATGTAATACCTGAAAGTTACAAGTATTAGATTGTGTTGTGATATGTGGACGACCAGAACGTTCGCTTTTATTTGCAGGTTGCCATCATTTCAATTTTTATTATGTAGATGAAAATAACACTTTAGAATAAAAATTATTCTACGTACACTTGTTATAGAAGCACAGAAATTGTACACACTTGTTATCTACATTTTTAATTAACTATACATTTTCCAGAGCACGTAAGTTCGTCCCGGTCTTGGGGCTTGTGGTGTTCAAACTTTTATTTTCTGTATGTTTTTTTTAATATTATCTGTATTTTCGTCCTTTAAATTTTGGTGTTGTCTGTCTTTCTGGTTCCCTCAGTGTTTGTGTTATTATCTTGTTTTGTCTTCTTAATCGATAAATGAGAGTTAAACATCGGTAAACTGTTGCTGCGCTAATTTATTATATCCCTGCTCCTAAGGGAAGGGGTCTTGTTTACGTTTGTCCGTCTTTCCTTTCATGTTTCTATCCGTACGTCAATGAAATTGTTGTCACTTTTGTCTCAGGAATTACATTCAGAGCTTCCAGAAATAAGATGTCAAGTTTCAGTCGAGCAAGCCGTACGGAGAGATTCATTTTCTGATTCATCGACCATCCATTCTGTTAATAGCAGATTTATCATAGATTACCTATAGCTTACAGTTCAACTTGTTTGACATTCAATTACTCGTTAGTATATTTTCTCTTTTTTATATAGTTGTAAACATTTTGTCTCTTTGTGTGCGAGTATATTATAGCTGACGCAAGCCATCAAATCAACTGCTTATTTTTTCTACATATTTCAGGAAACATTCTTATGCATCCAGCTCAAGTTCATAATGGAATGCAATTTTCTACTGTCGATCACGAGATATTTCTCTAAGCAATTGTGCAGCGACCTACAAGGGAGGATGGTGGTATGCAGCATGCCATGCTGCTAATTTGAACGGAAGATACCTATCCGGTCATCATGATTCATTTGCTGATGGTATTGACGTCGGTACTTTTCGTGGCGGGCATTATTCACTGAAGACTGTTACATTGATGATTACGAAAATTAATTTATCTTTAAAAATAGAAATAAATGGACTTTTTTCAAGTCGTGTTATTAAGTGTTAACGGTAATCAATATATTATCTATGTAAATCTTTAAAAAATAAAAGTTCAAGTTAATGATTATAGGTTGAAGTCAATTTTTTAATGATGCAGCTTGTTTTACTGTACTGTTTAGCTGTCATGTTGTTCGTTGCTTTGTACTGGAGAGGAAATATTTAGGATTTGCCCCCTATCCAATCCATTTCATTCATTTCTGACTAAACTATCATTAAATTGTTTTTCTAGTATCTAAGATAACTGTGTAGCTCTTGATTTTGGACACAGACACATCCTATCGATCAACGAACTATTAATGGTGTCAATAAAATTAATGTAGAGCCGATTTCAAGTCGTACATCATCCTAATATAAAAAAAGGAGATGTGGTATGATTGACATTGAGACAACTATCCACCAAAGATCAAATGAAATGGATTTAAGCAACACTGCTTCAACAGTTTTTGTACCGGGAGCACATCTCTGTCTATGAAGCCCGTTTTATGTCAACTTGCACGCACATCAAATATTAAAGATATTTTAACGCCCTACGATGGGGCAGAAGGTATTTTACTCTTGCTAGTCTCGGTAGTCTCGATTGTCATAGATCTTTTTTTAAGTCTTCCATCCGTGATGATATCAATATGCCTTATATAGGATAGATCATTATTCAAACAAGAAACAATAGTTTGCTTTTTTCAGTGTTATTTTGGAAATGATAAATTCATGTCGTTTTGTGCATTTTAAAATATATAATTTTTAAGAATCTGTATTATGATCTTAAAATTAATTTAATTCCTACCTGCATAATATTAATTTCAAATCTGCAGAATAATACGGAAGTCTTTTATATTTGTTTGTCAATGCAAACTTTTCGAAGTGTTGTTCCATTACAGATATACTGAAATTTTCAATCCATGACTCTATCTATAAATCGATACATTGTGGGTAAAAATGAATCGTGCAAATCCTGTGTGTTCAAATGGGAATGGGAATAGGGATTCGTGCAAGAAAAAAAAAGGAAAATGGTATACGATGTAATGGGGAATGGGAAATAGTGCAATTGCGAACGGTAAATAATTGAATGGGAGAACGGTAATAATGTACTGAAATTGGTTTTCGTGGGAAGTTTACATGTCAGGCATTAAATATAGCCAGATTACTATCACATATCAGTCTTATATGTGATGCATGAGACACGTTTAACAGAAAATCATACCATGAACTAGACTGTATTCTTACTGATAACTTCACTAGTTTCAAAGTATGCTCATTTCATTGAAAAATCCAATGGTCACACATTATTGCATATATTGACATTTTTATTTACTTTGTAGTTTGTACACGATTGCAGAAAGTATGTCTGATCGTATAAACAGCTGTACCTCGTTAGTATATTTAATAAATTATCTTATGTCTTATATCTATTGTGTCACACAAACACAGACACACATGTTTATTGACTTCGTGGTTAGTACTTAACTACATTTGCTTACATATACTAGGTCGAAAGGTGTAAACACAGTATCCACGTGATATGATAGGGAATAATTGGTTAGTGGCAATTGTTGGATCTGAAAGTTTTATATAAGGTAAAACTGACTTTTATTGATATAGAGGTGTCGTAATATTCGAATGGATGAGATTATAAATTAAAATCGAAAAGCAAACATAACGAGAATCAATTTGTTTAATAATAAGAAAATATATTATGTGTCCGTATGTTTTCATTCATGACAAAAAATCACTGCACCTACTTTGAAAACATACAAAGAAAGGACCTCTTGTTTTCCTGCTGTTAATTTCAAGTCAGTTTGCATGATATCACTATTAGTTCAAGAAGTCGCATGTGACTTTGACAGGACCAAGTCGCCCTAAATAACGATGTGCTCATAGTTTATAATTATAATTTCATTTTAGTGTTTGATTTTCACTGTATTTCTTAATATTCTATTACAATTGGGTGATTTATCGGTAGCTACTGATGAGTCTTTTGTAGCCGAAAAGTGAGACTCGCGTACCTAATTGTAAGCCAGATATCATTGATGATTTTGTTCAGTGAATATCATAATATGTTATGTTGGCTAGTTCTTTTTTATCCCATGATAAACAAATTCAAAAATTTTTCAAAATGTTTAATGAATAACACCTAGAACTCTTTAAATGATGAGATATCAAAAATCAAATTACGTCTTCGTTAAGCAATGTACACAATACATCGATTGGAGACGAAAAGAGTTACTCTTCTACTGCAGGGGAAAGCACATTATCGTAACATTGGAGGTAACACAATTCGCACACTTATATGCCTAACATTTTGAGAATCTACGGAATCATGCCAGTTACGACATATTATCAATTGTTAAAATATTTGATCATAATGCATTTCGTTGAACGTGAATATTACATTTTACAGATATTCTAAAGGGATGACTATGATGATCGTTGCTGTATTTATGTTGTTGGTCATACCAATTAGTAAGTAACTCAACTAGTACGTTAATAGTTAGCAGAAACTGCTTACCCTTCATTAGCACCTGAGTTCATCGCCGTTATGTGGTGGTGTTCGGACTGATCAGTCCTTAGTTGTATTATTTTTGTTAGTCCTATCGTCGTTTAAATACTTGGCTATGGTATTGTATGATTTATTTTCGATTGTCCCTTAGTATCTTCTTCCTCATTTACAAGAACTTTAATCGCGTTATTTATCCTTGAGTATGCAATAATTGAGCTTTGTTATTGTGGAGATGCTTTTGTTGATTAGAAATAAAAAGATAGTGTTTCTTGTTTATTGTTTTTCGAATATTTATGTGTATACTAACATAGATATTATATAGAAGACACGTAAAAAAACTAAGTACTAAGTAGACTGTCGAGAATATTTTATGAAATTAAAATCACCACCACACTATTTAGTTTAATACTAATATATACGTCTGTTTGACTTTCCCTAAGAATATAGCCTTTTGAAAGGACATCGCTAGTACAGTAAATTGTTGAACAAAAGTCCTCGTTCTTTAACGTAAGAAAGGTATATAAGTATTAAATAGATATATTTTCAACAATTTTCAGGTGTGAGCTAGGGACCACCAGTCTTGTTGGCAGACTTGTGCTCTCTATGCTATCGTTCAACAAAATCTTTTTATATACATTAATTACTTTACCAAAAGTGACTTATCACTTGATTTGTACATTATAAAAATCAGCTGCTACAAGTGGAATATAACTGCTTAACCTGACCTAAGTTCACACCCAATTTCAATCTTAATTTTTAACAAAGTGTTGTGTGTTGAATTTGTATGCAGAAAGCACTGATAGCGTTTGACATGTTATTCGTGTAGTTTTTGATTTACAAAAGTATTTGTAGAAATGAATGAAATGTTGAAAGCTGCGTTATCTGAACATCTGCATATATCATTACTAGAAGGGCAAAGCTTTTATACGTTATCTATACCATATTGGGGAATTGTTTATTAAACATTGAAAAATATCCTGATAAATATCATGAATCAATTTAGTTTCATAAATAGATATTCTTTCAAATATGCTAATAATCGAAGTGTTGTCTCAGAGCTATAACGGCTATTTGATACCCGGATCAGAACAGTACAGATTTTTTTTTCATGAGTTGTTTATGTATATAACTGCCAGATATTGGTAAGCTTTCTCACAACTAAAGAATAATGTCCTAGCTGTATCATTAATTTATTGGCGCTTATGGTTTTACCCATTTACATTTTTTTCAAAAGTTACGTGCTCTACTATTGTAGATTGTGGTCAGGATTGTCTTTCGTGCACTGGTATTGAAACTGCTGGAGATTGTGATCAACGTGAAACTTGCAATATTGATGAGGTACTGGGTACGTTGTAGTATGAACACATGCGTTTGAGAACAAAACATGTTATCCCTTACCCTTACACATGTTTGTATAAAGTATAAATACTAGTAGGCTATTTCAGAACAGTGAAGACAATAAAAAGTTATATAAGATATTGATCAGAAGGTTCAGATTTTTTCGACGATTTTTTTGTTTCAGTGCACTATTTTGAAGAAAAGACTCAAGATTATCATTTCACCTATCTATAGATCAATTAGAACAGGGGCATATATCTTACAATCCAAAGACTTAATTGTTGTACTTAACAATAGCTATGAATAAAGATAAACTGGGAAAGGAATTCTGACCCTGGTGTCCAATTGTCGTTTTTGAGAGCTCTTGAGTTCACCTTGATTATTAGTAAACTTGCCAAATCTTTAGTTTTCCCGTAGTGCTTCTTGAACTGTTACTGTTTTTTTTAATCTTTTTGTCATGACAAAATGTTGTTAGTTTTCTTCGAGTTGTTGTCAGCTCACGCCGAGATATATCCTTTTTGTGCTGATTTGGCGCAATGCAATCACCAATCAATTAATCGAGTTGTCGTTATGATAACCCCTTGTTATCTTTTCCACTTTCTATTGTAAGATGTCATGATAAACCAAAGCATCGTTGGATGTTTCGACACTGGTAAGTGGACATCCCACATTTATGATGAATAGTTAACTCTGTTTTATGCTCTTGAACTTCGTATTTGCCTTCCAAATCATTTGAATTGAACGCCACTGATGAGTCTTATGTAGACAAAATGCGCTATTGGCGTACACCTTATAAGCCTGTTAATTTTGATGTGTTTTTTTCACGCTAACAGCAGCTAAGAATACGACGGATGACTGTATAATTTTAGATTCATTTGACGCTAACAGTATCAAAAGGAGGATGCAGACGCTAGGCGGCTAAGTTTTTCATGACCTCTTTATTCAGATCTTGATCAATCGAGATTTTAGACTACATAATATAAGTTAAATCAATTATCACCATGACTATGCATGAAGTATCTGGCATTTCATAAAGTTGAGCTCATCGTAACCTCTTTTCTGGAATATTTACAATTCCCCGAATGTTTTTCAGTTACTTTTTCTGAAGTTTTGAGCATGCTATACATGCTATGTTCCGCAATTTTTGTCAGTCGTGAAACTAGGTTCCTGCATTTAAACTGTGTGATACAAATAATTTTCGGAGAAACTTCATTTAATGCCTCCATTAAAGCGTACGAGCATGACGTAAAACATGACAACCATTTCATTCCTTATAGAATATTTTCCTGACTCACGACTAATGAAAGATTAACCGCGTTAAGTGGATTATAATATACTTTTGTCTATTATTGTCAAGCAAGGGCAAAAATAAAGAGGGGGATTTATAAATGTCAACTCTTTATAATATATAAGTATTTAATTACACATGGTATCATATTAGAAAAAATAAGTTGTTCGTCCAAAGGCACTTACAAATATATATATGCCATCTTCACGACAAACCATCTCATAATAAAATGCAACGGTTAGTCGACCATCTAATAGGTAACTTATAGACAGCATGGTTTATTCCATATTTCAGCAAACGGAAATCAGAACATCGATATAAGCCTATTGAAAAGTGAAAATACCAAGCACTAGTCAAATTAATCCATCTGTTACTAAATAAACTTGAAAATGAGTATTGAATAAATTATATGAACGATTATGTGTATCCTGCCAACCACCACAAACACTACACTCCATTTCCGGTCTATGTAATAGAGAGCAATGTCTTATTTTTAGACAGAAAAGTAATGACCTGCGTTAATATTTTTAGTAATAGTAAATATTCATCAAAGATACCAGGCTTATTATTTGAAATATTTATGAAATATGTAATAAATGATACACATTATTTTCTCCATTTGTCTTATATATATATGACTGTGTTTTATAGGTTTGTTTCAAGCAAAAGTACTCTACAACTTCTGGTAAAGTTCTCTTTGATTTTGGTTGTTCTAGGTCACAGGTAAGATGATGAAACTAGATTTTGACCTTTTTGGTGTCCTTAATATTTTCATTTATTCTTGTTTTTAGATGAAATATTTAATCAGTCAAGCAATAGCATATAATCGATTGTTTTACAATAATTTCATTCTTAAGACAGAGAAATATTCAAAGTTTAAACGGAGCCTTTCCGAGTATACAAGATATTTAATACCATGTGTAGAGAGTAGATACATCCTTATCATATGGGATACAATGGTGGAATCTGTCTCTTTGATCAATTAGAAAAGTAAGCTTTATCCAATGTTTTGTGATTACATGTAAAAAAAAAATAATCAATTGGTTTCAATATATTAAAGAACTGATAATATCAAACTTTCTATAGTTTTGCAGACAATCATTAGGAACTATATTCGGAAGAAGAGAAGAAGGACATCACATCGTCTGTGAAGCATGTTGTAATAATACAAGGTATTGCAATGGAGAACTTCGATGTGAAACAGTTATAAAACAAAACAGTAGGTGTACAAATAAATTTGTCATCACTTAAATGTATGTATTTTATAATGCTAAACATATTAAAACAATTTTGAGCATGAAAAAAAATAATTTGAAAGGAAACTAAATAATTAATTCAAAGATAAGAAGATGTGGTATGACTGCCAATGAGACAACTATCCACGAAGTTGCTCTTAGCTACCCTTTGCCATGTGTTGCTGATTCATGCAAAACCCGGAATGATATGATAAAAAAATGTTTAATTCAAACTTTATTTCGATGTCCTCGTTTTTAAAATGTTTTGTTTTGAACCTTTAAATGGCACTTTAAAACAAATATTTCCAACAGTAAATTCTGAAATTATTGTTAATAAACTAAAAATGTCATCTAACAATAAAGTATTTGTAGAACGACTTCACTTGTTAATCATCTTAGACTCTCTGGTGTTTACACTAAATAATAGCTTTAGTGCTTATCAGTAAATAAAGAGTACTACTTGAAACAATGCTAGAGGAACCAATGACCTGGATGAAATACATCAATTTTATACAAGAGAGAAGTCCATACCAGTAATTTCCAAACATAAAGCACAAATAAAGCGTTGCGAGATTGATACATTTGTTATTTCTCAGAAACAAATGCTCCAAAAATATGTTCAGCATTGCTATAGATTAAATAACTTTCTTTATCATTTTTTCAATCACTATTTATCCGTCAAAGAAAAACGGGTGCCATCTATTATCTATATTTGTGCATTAGAGGTATACACATCATTACGTCGATGATAAGGACAGTTACACTCAACGATGTGAGTAACGAAAGAAAAAATTATCTTACATATATGTTTACTTCTTATATAAGATCAAACCATGTACAGATTTGTTATATAGAATTACATGTTATCGATTTACATTTGATGAAGCATATGCAAATATACCTTGTTTAATTCATGGATAGTATAAGTTTTTTTTTCAGTTTTTTCAATTGCAAGCTTCAGCTAATCAGTTAGTGATCTCTCTTTCAGACACCCATCTGCCCAGGGAATGTTCAGAAATAAATTCGCCAGATTTGAAAAGTGGAGTTTACAATATTTACCCATTCAATTCGCATATAGCTGTCCCAGTATTCTGTGATATGACTACTGAAAATAAAAGTTGGACGGTAAACACATATTTTAAACTCATCAAATATACGAGGATTAAATTTTAGAACGCCAGACGCGCCTTTCGTCTATAAAAAAAGTCACCAGTGACGCTCGAATCAAAATGTTAAAGAGACAGAATAAAGTACAAAGCTATTTTTGGAGGTTCAAACTCTATTAAAAAAAAATAATGTTTATATCTTTATCTAACTCTCGGTCTTCGTAAAGATTGATTAAAGCACTTTGTGGGGCAATTCTTCGAAATGATGGCCACTCAATACCTGGTTTTGTATTTCATTAAAGCTGCAACCAAAGGTGATACGTGTCCCAATTTTGATTTTAAGACATGCATAACAATATCTTTCCTTAGCAAAGACCGCAGTATTATAAAATGATTTTCATTACTCTATAAACGTGATATGAGTTTAACACAAGCATATACATTTTCCGATGTAATTTTCAGTCCTTCGAATTGGTTATTCAATACGACGTTTCTGTGTCTCAAATCATTTTATACTTATTTTCGGAAGTTTAGATCTGAAGACGCAAGAGTTGTCGTCTAATTTTGACATTTTGTAATCCACCATTTTCTACATAAGGAAATGCCTGTACCAAGTCAGGACTATGGCACTCGTTTGATGTGTTTGAGCTTTTTATTTTGCCATTAGGCTTGAAGTTCGGTATTTTTGTTATTTAACTTTTTACTGCAAACAGGCCCTTTTTCCTATAATTGTAAAATGTTTGATAAGGTTTAAATTAGCATGGAAATTCATAAATGGTTGATATATTCCAATTGATTTACAAATCTAGAACTTTGGCAACCACTTCGACACTTATTTTGTTACATGTTTATTATACTCGTAAATATTCTATTGAATGCAATTTTGATTACACTCCTAAGGATGCAATAAAAGTATGAAAAAATGAAGTATGATTGCCAATAAAACAACTATCCATCAAAGACCAAACGACATAGATGTAAGCAACCAAAAGTTACCGTACGACCTTCATAAATAAATAAACCATACCGTATATGAAAACATAAGAGGCATTGACATGGCAAACTGTTAAAAAATTCAAACAAGAAAACGAACAGCTTGATTTATGTACAAAACAAAACAAATATGTCAGACTGCATCAAACGAAGCAACTGTTTATTTTATAAAGGCTCATGACTAAACACAGACTAATACAGAATTTTGCGAAGTTAAACATTTTTACGTCTGTTTAACCCTCCCCTGATGTCGTACATTGGTGTAAAAGCAAAGCACAGGAACAAACTGTAAAAATCCGTTTAAATAGATTTAAAGACATGTGAGTGATCGGATTCAAAGATCGAAACAAAGCACAAATCAGTTTTTCTAATAAAAAGACAACGCGAAATGATAAACTATTTACGATTAATTGAATTTGCACAGTTTATACACTTTTGAAGCAGATGACATATTTAAAAACATAACATCTCATCAAACCTGAAAAGTTTTTCTATTCAATTTTGACATTTATACCAACAGAGTTAAAATCAACATTGTAAAGCAGGTATCATAAAATGTATCGACTACATTGCAATGCAATTCAATTTATCAGATCAGAAGAACAGCACGTGTTCGGACTCTTTTATCTATAAACAAATTTGTTTTTGAAATTTGATGGCTACGGTAACACCGAAAGACATGTATATATGAGTAATGTAGTTTGACCTACTATTTGCTTTTGATATATATAAAACACTTAACTACAGGTAATACAAAGAAGGTACAATGGTTCTGTTGACTTCTATAGAAATTGGATGACTTATAAAGAAGGTTTTGGTAATGTGGATGGCGAGTATTGGTTGGGTATGTAAACATGGTATACACGGTTGCTGATTTAGAAGAAGAAAAAACAAGTAAAGAATGCAATACTGTTTATGTTGAAGAGGGAATACAAATTGAATTACAACGGACGTGCAAATGCAGATTGATAATGTTTGAGACCAACAGATAAGAATGAAAATATGAAACACAACTTAACATTTAAAAAGAATGCGTGAGGCGGTATTAATCATAATTACAACTGAGTGATCTGACAAGCTTACAACTCACACCACGACATTTTCAAAAGCGTCGATTTTAATGTTCTCTAACTCATTCATCTAGTAATTCATGCGTTTTACTGCTAATAAAAGGAAAAGAAGGAAAGACAACCACACATTACCAGGAAAACTAAATATTGTTCAGCAACACCAACCCAACGGAAAAAAATGAAAATGAACACTGACAGGGTATGCAGTACATCATCAACCAGTTAGTTGCTTACATTGTAATAAACAAACGAAATGAGAGAGCGGCCAATGTTCATTGATTTTTCATAAAAGTTTTTGAATTGTCATATTGTTAGGCACTGATGATCTACAATATCTGTAATTTGTCTTTTCTGATATGTTTTATCAGCAACAGTGAGTTACTAATTAATGTATCAAATCTCATTTTCTGCATCAAATCAAAACAATATATTTAATACTGGATTTTGTATCTAAGCTAGTAATCTTTTCAAACAGGAAATGATATAGTTCATCGTATTACATCAAGTGGTAACCATGAGCTTAGAATCGATTTATCAGACTTCGAGGGCAATGATCGATATGCAAAGTATTCGAGTTTTCTCGTTGGTGATGAGTGGAGTCAATACCAGTTACATGTATCAAATTATTCAGGGGATGCAGGTTAGATTTATATAATCTATGAATTTATGATTGATTAAATGAATCGGAAGTAAGCAACTAAATGCATGTTTCGACCGAAATGAAACAATATCTCACATGTAAACAAAGAGACAAAATACACAATATATACAAGCGTTTTGGAAACATTGGAGTTAGTGTTAATAATTATATTAAGAATGGTATACTGCTAGAGAATATACAATATACATTATCATAGACTTATTATTATTAAGTGTGATTTTCATATGTATGTACTAGCACTTGGTCGATACTACTGATGGTCGAACGTTAGTCCCCGATCTCAGTGGTCTGTACTGCGGTACCGCCGTGATTTATTTAATGAAACTTTAAAACTCCTTATTTCTGAATTTTGAAATTATCGAGAAACATAGGTTCCAACTGCATCAGGCAAAGTTGAACTTTGATGAACTTGTCTATGTGTTTATGTCGCTTTTCGTCATATATTTACTAAAGTGTACACGTATTTCTACCGCCTCATGAGGAAGATACAAAGAAAAGTTTTTCACACGCACTGTTATTTCAATTTTCATTTTCAGATACGCATGATAGAATAAAAACATTATGTGTATTTATTACCCTTGGGCCGATACATCTGATGCCAGACTTTCAAAAAACAAGAAACAAAATAAATGCACGACTGCAATCATCAGTGTTGACATTTAAAACCTTTCTACAAACATCCAAGAAATACATGTAATTGATATCGAGAGATTACCTTCTTGATTGCGATAATGTAAAATATATCATATATTTTGATATTGTCAAGGATGATGCGTTTCTTTTATTTAGAAAATATATACTCAACTGGTTGAAAGACATCAAACCATTTGCCTCATTTCACTATCTATGTATTCCAGGAAATTTTCTCATGCACCCAGCATACAACCATAATGGAATGCCATTTTCTACTTTTGACCACGATGCAGATGACTCCCCCCTTAATTGTGCAGCGCAATACAAAGGAGGTTGGTGGTATTCCCACTGTCTGATCGCTAATTTGAATGGAAGATATCTATCGGGTCATCATGATTCTTTTGCTGATGGCATTGACGTCATTATATGGCACGGAACTCATTATTCACTGAAGACAGTTACTATAATGATCACCAAAATTAATCTGTAGAAACTAAATTAAAATTGAATACGTTGTTTTACGTCATGACTTATTCTGATGGACACTATCCCAAAAACATGTGTCATGCACTCAGAAAGCAATCTATCATAAGTCGTACGAGTCGACTGTCTGTTAGACAGCTGATAATTGATCCTCAGTTCCCGAGATTACCATCGGCCCACCATCAAGTGCTTTGGTACTGGTATAATTTAAAATATATAATTTATATGTTAATTTCAAACTCTTAAATTATGTAATTGTATTACATAACAAGGAAAGAATCCTCAAATACAATTTAACTTGTCTAGTCTTATATATGCTATGATTTCTTTTAATTGTTTTGCTTTCCCAAAACTTTTGGTTTCGATAAAAACTATTCAAGAAACGCGTTGTGTCCGCATTGAACGAGAATGCACAGACACAACAATGTTTGCATTTTCTTAACAACTATTTACGCTCAACTGACATTTTCGTTCTGATCTTCTTTGTTTTTTTTATTATTTTTTTTTTTACAAATTATAACATTTAAGAGGACGGCATCTCTTCATGTTTGATAGAATAATCATTGCAGATTTTTATAATGTTTTAATGGTTAATCTGTTAAGGTAGATAAACTTACATTTATATTAAAGATTTAACCATAATAGGTCTTCTTTATTTGTGCGGGTAATGTGTTCAATCCTCTCAATTTATTTGTCTGAAATCTATATGCCTGATAACTTGTCTGTAAAATAGCTACGAACCAACTGTGTCTCTTATTGCTGAATATTGGTCGACTTGTTTCTTAAAAGGGTATAAAAATTCCATAGCAACATTTTATTCAAATAGCATATAACCTGCTGTAACATAAACCTTTTATATGAAATTAACGTGATGTGGTATGATTGAAAATGAAACAACCTTTTCAAAATGACCAACGGAAAAAAGATGCGAACAATCATAGGGACTATACGACTTTTAGCAATGAGCAAAACCAATATTATATTGTTACTTATTAAACATGTTAAATCTTACGGATGAAAAAATGTGAAACAAATTATAAAGATAAAACTAACGATCGCCTTTTCCCTGTTGTTGCCTCTTTAATATGATTTAGAAGAAATGATAGATGATAATGTTGTTTCAACTTTTTGTTTTCATTTTGTTTCGTCAAAGTGATTTATTTTCCTATTGAAATTATTGTGTAATGCGTAAACCGTGCAAAACAACAACCCGTTTAATCAAGTTTTAGTCACACATGAATTCCAAATATGTTAAGACTCAACGCAGCAATTAAATGTTTGTTGACTGTATTAATACGACTAATTATATACGAGCGCCACTGGTGAGTCTTTTGTAGACCACACGTCCATATGGCGTAATTCAATTTAAAGCCTGGAATCTTGATCTTTTCAAGGTTGTAAATAATACATGACTCGCATTGACGGGATGCATGGGAAGTGCCTTTTCCGTTTGTTTTTTAGATATAGATTTGCATTTCGTAGATGAGGCATGATCACATGAGAAAGGGTATTTAAACTATAAAAAAGCTAAAACTTTAGTGTTTGTTGTTGTTTCATGTTTGTCTTTATGTTTATATTCATCCGGTATGATTTATTAAATATGTATATATAATGCTTTTTTATACGTTTCCAATACGTTCACATGCTGTATTTTTCTTCTAATTGTTATAATAACATTAACTGTATTAATTGTACTGCACCAAATGTACATTTAACAACTATTATCTGGTTAGTGATACCGGAGGTAAAACATTTTTTCAAGTTGAAAAAGAAAACAAATACTAAGCTGATATACACGAAAAATTGACAAAAGTACAGACAAAGCAGGAAATGAATGAGAGCTATACATGATGGAGATGCCTTAATCAATTTAGAATAATTACCAATTGATAGCAGGAAAAATCAATAACACAATATGCCAGGACCGCAGAATTGGCTACTGGACTGGATTTAAAAGTCATATAAACGCTTGTTGACTGTTTCTTGAAGTTTATGTATAGCTAATGTCTGATGTCCTGATATCTAGTGCATTCTGATGAGTACAAATTAAATACAAGACCTGTTTCATGCTGGGATTTCGGATAAGGTAAGAAGATTCAAACATGACAAAACAATCAATTTTTGAAGGACAGATAACTGTACAACTTAACGAAAAGAGCATACAAATGCAAACAATAGATCACAAATTATTCATAAAACTAATTATTCTAATGACTGACCAGCATGCATACAAGCAAAGCAGCAATATTGACGTGTTTCAAAACAAATGCCTTTAATGTTTCGTTCAATTTAGTTTAAAAAAGTCTGAATATGCTAAATGGACGTTTAAACTCATAAGTGGAAGGTAAACAGACAACGCCATGGCAAAAAGTAAAATACGACCAAAAGACAAAACACAACGTAAAAAACTAAAGACAGAGCAACATGAACCCAACCAAAACTCTGGGGTGACAGGAGGTGCTCTGAAAGATTAAGCATATCCTGCTTAACATCAGGTGATAATGTTTGATTCGCTGATGTCACAATCGAAGAAAGGAGGAAAAAACTGGAACATATCATTTGTCATCTGTCAACCTGCTATTCCATAACGGTCAACAAACCTGTGATGGCGTCAATAAAATTTTTGAAGAGTTAACATTAGCTTCATCACTTGGAATCCTTTTTTTTTTAAAAGTTTTCTTGTAAGCAACAACCTTCAATTAAGGAAATCATGATAGGAAATACACTATCTGGAATATCGTATAAACTGGGAGAGATAAACTATATGTGCAGGCTCTGCTGGGATGTTGCTATAAAGAAATTAAAAGGTCACAATTGGGAAGCTGAAATCATCTCTTTTTGGTGACGTTTTGTTCTCAACTGACCCGTATTGATAACTTCTAGAAAGACCTAGAGCTCTACCACTCTGGCGTAAAAGGCTATTTTTCCAATGAAATTGTTATTTTCATTGAAATTGTAAATGTACTCGTAAATGCTACAACGCGCATATCTAACAATTTGTAAACATGGATTTCAATAATTTAAATAAATTGGAACCAACGTAAATCACAAAAATTAATATTAGGATTCGCAATTCATTGTCGATGGAGGTTTCCTCCCCGAGAGTATCACCTGCCTAGTAGTCAGCACTTCTTTGTTGACATGAAAAATCATTAATATAGTCATAATTATAAATTAATTGTTTACAAAACTTTGCATGTTTCGAAATACTAAACCTTTCTCCTAGGAAATGTGGGTCCTTAATGCTGCTCAACTTTGTACTTTGACATTTTTAACGTTTTTGATTCGAGCGTCAGTGATGAGTTTTTTGTACACGAAACGCCCGTCTGGCGTAAATATTTTTATTCCTGGTATGTATTATGAGTTTATTCCTAGTTTCTGTCGTAAATCTTCATATGAATAGATCCACAAAATTTCATATATGAAGACCTAAAGGAACAAAGATCAAAGACCAACTTAAACGTATACTGGAGGAATATTAAGTGCGGAATGGTAATTTTCCATTGAGAATTTGAAAAAAATCTGATTTGCTCAAAAGGAAAATATATCGTCTATAAACGTCCTACAATCATGAAAAAACTCTTGGGGGATAACAAAAACACACTTAGATATAAAAATGAGAGCCGCTGACGAATTCCTGGTGATCGACAAGTTGATGACATTTTGAAAGGTCATTTTTTTTTTATTCCATACCCCCTTTGGGAAAATCGTAAATCCAACCAGTTCCTTCAACACATTTTTCTTACAACAATTGCTGAAAACATTGATTGATTGTAAATTCCATTAGCATACTTTTGCCCTTGTTTGTCAGCTCTCTAGGTTCTGATTGTGGCCTCTGTGACCATTTGCTCTACATACTCGATCTTCTGTATCAGTAGCCTGTCAACACTGAGGTAGTGAGTTCGAATCACTTACATGGGAGGTGCGCTCGACTCCAATCTTAATTGTCTAGGGTTGTCAGTTTTCCTATCGAAGGTCGGGGATTCTCTCAGGGCACGCCTGTCTCCTCCACCAATAAAAACGTATCGCCACGAGATAGCACAATAGCACTGAAAGTGGCGTTCAACAACAATTAATCAATCAATCAAAAAATCAATCTTTAGGTTCTGTGTAAACTAGAGTTCTTTGTCGAGAAGCCGATTTAGTGGTAATGTTTTACATTGTACATTGTCTACCAATGCAGTTTCAGCTAGTATGAGTATTTACATGACAAGTTTAGATAAAAAAATCTTTAAACGCAAATATCATTGGTATTAATGAACATTTGAACAGAAGTTCTGACTATATGAATAATTTATTTATCGTAATTCAGATTTTATACAAATGCTTCGTTTACTGCTACTTTCAGCTTGTCCTCTAAGTCGCTGACTACATTAACATCTTCCAACTGTGCTGAAATGATCAGTTTTGGTAATTGACTTGTTTCCGTGTATGAAACAGCTTTAAATTTAGGTTTTGATGAACCTGCAATGACAAATAAAAGAAATATATTATGCTCTTATTAGGTATTCCCAGGGTATTTGAACATATGTATTTTCGAATGCATTTTGATATTACGAATGTTTTTCAATTAATTTACTTGAGGGTGTGACTTTCAACGAATCAACTACACAACAAAAAAATCTATGTAAAAAAGATATATTACAATATCTCTTAACATATCATTTTGAGATTTGCATTTTTTTGGGCTTAAATTCAAAAAGAGAATTCTAAAAAAAATAATTTTCTTCGTAAAAAATATATATATAACATCTAGATAGGTTTTTTTTTCAATGTTATATATATATTTTTTACAAAGAAAACAATTTTTTTCAGAATTTTCTTTTTGAGTCTAAGCAAGAGTTTCAGCCCACATTTGCTCATTCAATCTAGCTTTTGTGCATGACTTATTTCACAAATTGGTAGACGTTTTCAATTCTTTGTACATACATATACAAATTTTATGATTTCAACTTTTTCCAAATTTTATTTTACCAACGGTTGTTTTAAGATTTTTTTTATGATTTGAACACTTTTGCATTTACCTAAATCTATATAAATAAGATAAGGAACAAATGTAAAATATAGAGAAATTGCAATGAATATATCGACATGTATTTGTATACTAAAGTACCAGCATACACAGAAACCCCATTAAATGCAACCATTATTATACATTTTTCAAAGTCCAATATCACATATTTTCTATACATAGTTACATTTTTTAACAGAAAACTAAATTAAACCGACAGCAGTTTTCAGATGTTCAAATCTCTTATATCGATTACGAAGAAACAAATCAGGGTAACAATCCAAAATAAGAAAAAAACGCATGACTTCAATATGGAGCGATACCGGATGCGTCGTTAGGGCTGGCGTTTTATGCTATGCATGCATCGTCTGCCTTGCGAATTGTATTGGTCAAGCAATTCGTGATGGTGATCGTCAAAATTATGTAGTTGCTAAACTTAAAGAAATAATCCAAATAAATAAGAATAGAATATAACATACCAAACACATCTGTAACCGGTATCCAACTACTTCTCCTGTCATGCTTCCTTTTTTCTGTTTCTGATAAGAGCGAAACAAAATTGTTTCTGTCAAGAACAATTAACTTCACTAATTGAAGATATCGATTCTTTTCAATTTCCAGCATCAGGTTTCGAATAATCTTTGCTTGCGTTCTTAATGGTAATGTATCTACAAAATTTATTGAGAAAGTAATATGGTGATACAAAATTAGGACACTTGTTTACACTTCTCATAGTGTGGTAGCATACATGTTTACACTGCTCAATAAGCATAAATGTCTTATAAAATGAAATCAATAACGGAAGTAAGTTTCGTCATAGTAATAGTTGGCTGTATGTAAATGACTCCTGATGGTCAATTTAAACAAGGAAAGAATTCAAATTTGCTCTATGCCAAATTTATATCAACACATCTTAGTATTTGGGTGTTAAGTGTTCTCTTGGAGAAAGATATACTGTAATCTATTAATCACTTTGCTACCTCGTTATATTTTATCAATAATTAGGAAGTTAAGAAAAAAACATATTACAGCTTAACATGACGACTTGAGGATTGATATCATTTTGAAGGAAATTCCTGTTTGAAGTTACCGTTGCAAAAGGCGACGAAAATGTCATACGTAGGTAGGATGGGTAGGGAATATATAGGTATTCGATCAAGACAAATTTGACATTAGTCCATTTGAAAACGCATCATATGGCATGGCATGCTGACATTTAGCTCAATATAAATAATAAGAAAGCTCTGGTTTGTTGTTCCTAAAACCCCTTCCACAAATTACAGGCAGCAGTTGTTTACCGATGTTCAAGTTTCATAAATTAATTAAAAAGATACTTATCAATGTAAATACTACGGGAATCGTAAAAACTCAAAAAGGAAGGACACAAGATTAGTCGATAGGAAAGTGTCTCTTAATTTGCATTATCCACTATCTGAATCCCAATTCAGTCAAAATGCCACAATAGGAAAAATGACAAACTCGGAAAATGTTCTCATTAGACGACCATTCATATATCTTATATTGTCTATTATGCCTGAAGATCTCAGATAACTTCGCATATGAGTTGAAATACAGACACATCGTATCGATTAAAATTTACTTTTGATAACTTGTCAAATATACCAGGTATATACTCAAGTATGCCGTTTCGTTAACTGATGACTTTGTAGTGATATAAACTGAGACAACTATTAACAAAAATTATGCTATCTAGTGATCAAAGATACTCAGTTATCAAAGAAAAAACTCAATAACGCTCAATTTAAACTACAAAAATCGAACTCAGCCTGTGTGAGTGGTAAATAAAAGTTTGGTGAAATCATGAAGTGTTACTTTAGGTATAAGTTTTTTTTAGGTTATCAAGGTGATAACTCGTGAACGATAAATAGACTTGACATGAATTGTAATGTGCTAAAATCGATAAAAGATTTATGAAAACAGTATTTTAATCATCACATAGAATACCCACCATATTCCAACTTCTTAGGTCATTGGGGTTAATAATGTTGAACTGTATATACAAAAACCATCAAAAACGTAAATGACATTGTGTAAAAAAACAGATTCGGTACTTTAATTTTAATCCGAAAACACACGAACTTATAATGTTGAAGGTGACAAAGAGCTATAACAGTCATGAATAAACCTTAACAACCAAACTTGATCTGACCTGTAGACATTATGTTCCAATTTTAAGATTTGATCGAGTAGTGACGAAATAACAAATGGATGTGCATCAATATATAACCACCTTTAACATCGAGATATGACATAGTAAACAGTATAATCAATAAATATTATATTTACCATCATTTTCAAGTAAAGAAATTGTAATTGTTGACAGTCTTTCCTCCAAAATGAATTCAAGGACTTTCGCCATGTTCCTTTTATAATTGGTGTTATTTGAGCAAATTTGTATTGACCAGAAAGTACAGCCATGTTTATCCTTTATCATCCCGTCCTTACTTTCCTTCAACACTGAACTAGCTGAAAATTTGAGAAATTTCATCGGTCATATAATTGGACTTATACATGTAAACACAAACACGATGTATACAGTATTTAATGAACAATTCATTGCACTGTGGTTCATTAGGCTGCTTATTGATCAGGCGGTCATCTTCCCTCACAAACATTTACATTATAAGCAATATCTGTGTTTCAGTTTTGTGTGCTCTCAACACAAATACTGCTGAAGACGACTTACAGGAAAGAACGACTGAAATGGACAGTACAAATGTTCTACTGTCATCATCAGAAATTGGTTGACAGATACTGTGTTTATTTATCATTCGCAGTCTATGATCTATGAATACCAGAATATCAATCTTATCTGTAATTGCATCGATTGTATCCTATCACTCATTGTGACATTTCAACCAACTGAGTATGGCTTTGCATGGCCGGTCATGCACGCATAGTAGGAGACGCTTACCCTGAAGAAGCACACACTCTATCTCCTTTTGGAGTTCATGCTTTTCCCTAATTTCGTTCTTGTTTCCTTGATTTGTCTTCTTAATCGACCGATTAGATTTGAACATAGGTAAACTTCTGTTGCCTTAATTGATGAAATCAAACAACAAAATAAACTTCATGATATATTCAACTGTTCTATCCTGGATAACACTCAGAGTAGACTTTTTTCTTATTATTTTTTTTGTTTTTTATGCATTTTCAGTCATAATTGTGAAGTCTATATCCATAACGTCAAAATAAATTATACCCATCAGTATGCAGTCCCAGCACAATATACGAAATACGCACCGGATGATATCAAATAGATAACATTATTTTTATTCTCAGATGAAAACAAATCGTAGTACATAAGCGACTTTATTGATACTTGAGTACACTGAATTATTTTCATAAGAGCTAGTAATAAATCTTTTGATTTTTTTTTACAAACAACTACTGTTTTATATCGCAGTTGAAATACAAGGAACTTACTCGCATCACGTATAAAATTTACATAAAATTGATATTTTATACATTGAATACTCTTGAACAAAACATAAATACTGTGTTGACAAATCGAATGAAAATCTTCTTATGTGCTGCTTAGAACTTTTGAAATTTTAAGAGAACAAGAGTCATAAGCAACATAATGGCTGCCACGTGTGGAGCAGGATATACTTACTATTCCAGAGCATCTGATATCACCCCCCGTTTTGAGCCTCTTCGTATTACTATTTTGTTGTATGGTGTTTTTGTAGACTGATGTATTTCGTGTCTGTCTTTTCGTCGTTTTTCGAAATTTTCATTTGTAATTCCGATTGGATATTGTGTTATGTCTTATCGTTTGTGGTTTTATTTCTATTTTTATCTTCTATATGTATGTAAAAGTAAAGATAATTAATCAGCTAGGTCATTTATATGATTTTTAGCTTGGAGCAACTATATGCACAGGATGTATTTCTTTTTACACAGTTTGATTTAGAGGAATAGCCGACATGGTTAGAAAATACAAATAATTACACGATCATTAAAACAATTCTATATTAATATTCTTGTGATTGTTAGGAAATACATCAAATAACACCATTGCAAACTTTATCCCAATTTTATATTCAATTTTTAGAAATTCACTTTTTGTGGCGTTGATACATTCGTGTGACGCACAGTTCATAATTCTATTGTGCTGCACTTGTGTACTGTCGTAAATTAATTTTAGGTGTTCGTTGTTATTCTGTGGTTTACATGTTGAAATGTACTATTATGTTGTTTTTTGTGTATTTCTCTGTCCTGAGTGTTCTTGCATTTATTTGTACTGTATTCCTGTCACGTAATGTTGTCATTTTAGCGGTATTTTTAACATTGCCATATAAGCAGGAGGTTTGGCTAGCCATAAACCAGTTTTTTCTTAGAATGTCCTGTACCAAGTCAGGAAGATGGCAGTTGTTATCAAATAGTCCGTATCTATGTATGTTGGCTTTTGTTTTTGTAGCAGTTCAGTGTTTCTGTTGTTCCGTTGTTTTCCTCTTATAGTTGATGTGTTTCCCTCGGTTTTGATTTGTGCTCCGGATTTGTTTCAGTTAAATCGAGTTATGACTGTTGAACAGCGGTATACCACTGTTGCCTTTATTCCTTATTTGCCATGGAGTTCGACTCCGACTAACTGTAAACATTGTTATTTTTGCTGATACTTTAATTCGCGCTTAACAATTTCTAACTAACTTCTCGGCGATCTATTTTCGCATTTTTCTTATTTCCTGATATATTTATGATCAAAGTTTAACTTATTCACGACGATTTATATTCACGTTTTTTTTCTACTTGCGAAAGTCGGGAAAATAAAACGCTCGCGAATATTAATTGGTTTATATTATCAGTTTTCTTTCTTTCGCCTCTCTAATTTACCCTTTGTTACTAAAATTTGTAATAGGTATGTCCTTATATTTTGCGATAAATGTCAAACAAACTGCAAACCATTTACAAAAAATAATCAAAATGAATCTTCTTTTATGTACAGGTGAATGCACAATTTAAAAACTATGCAGTTTAACTGATTTGACTAGGGTTTCAGTAACTGACTATTTCTTGAACTGGTTAGCTTTTGGTGTGCGTATAGTACCTTTTGTTATTCCATTGTTCTTGGACGAATAAAATTGGTTGAGTACTCAAAAATCGAAAATTCCGTGACATGTTGATACGTCCAAAGTATATAATTCATATCATGGATTTAAAAGGTATACTAACAAATATTTGGTAGTCTCTGTTAAATTGATTTGAATTTTTCGGATCCGTAGAAACGAAACGTTTTACATATCAAATTGGAAATCAGCTATCACCGAAGACATTGAAGAGACTTTTTTTTATGCAAGCGCGTTCTTGAATCATTTTCTGTTAATACCGGTTGAAGTTTAAACCGCACCTACTTTTACTGATGCCAAACAAACATAGACTCCAAAAAAATTATTAACTATGTTAATAATGTCAATCACTATAATGCATGTATCTCTTGAGATTTGAAGGTATGCCGATAGTTTTTCTTGCTTTATAAAACTTAAATCGTAGAATAATGACTTTTAGGACAGATACCGTCATCTCAAATAAAATTAAAAAGATAATAATTACCATCTTCCGGGGTTGAAATTGTTATCAGAGCGTCGCTTTGATGAAACCGAGTGCTTGGTAAATGTAAAATTATGATTTTCGTATCATTACATCTCAATTCTAATATGGATTTCGTCTGATGCAATAACTCTAAAGAAAAACATTATTTGTTTGTTTTGTTTTTATCAGAGTTATACATATTGATACATCCATTATCATCTTACATGTATTTTATACAAATATATAATTTTTTTAATCATTGATCCATTGTGACATTTGTACCGTTGGATATCATATGTTAATTTGATGGTCCGAATTAAGGCATCTTGTCAGTTGATGTATAATTTTATTATAATGATCATTTAGCATGTTTAGCCAATTAGCATTGTTTGTAGATATCTTACTGGTCATTCACACACAACTGATAGAAGCACACGACGATTCAAAGCTCGACAAATTATATGAAGAGGAACCTGAGGTTCAGTGGTTGTCGTTTGTTGATGTGGTTCATAAGTGTTTTCGTTTCTCGTTTTTTATATAGATTAGACCGTTGGTTTTTCTGTTTGAATGGTTTTACACTAGTCATTTTTGGGGCCCTTTATAGCTTGCTGTTCGGTGTGAGACAAGGCTCCGTGTTGAAGGCCGTACTTTGACCTATATTGGTTTAGTTTTACAAATTGTGACTTGGATGGAGACTTGTCTCATTGGCACTCATACCACATCTTCTTATATCTATCTCTCTGCTCACTCTGAGCGAGATGTTTTTGTAATTTTTGCTGTTCAGTTACTATTTCAGTGATGCTTATTGCAGTTTCTGTTGCATGTATAAATGATTTTGAGCAATTAGGATCTAGACAATGGCAGAACATTAGTTCATTTGTAAATAAATAATTGGTTGTTAGCCTGTAGGAGTTTGTGTTATAATTTTGGTTAAGTTGTCTTGTTCAATGCATAAATGTACATACCCTCAGAAAATAGTTCTAATTCTGACTGTTTTCCTATCCATGTTTCAAATGCCTAGAGTTTATGAATAAATATACTTTATTTTATCATTACTACTACACAATGTCCCAATCATTTCTTACAGTTAAAGATAACAAGATCAAAGGGAGACAACAAGTTCAGCTTTTCTGGGTTTTTTTTTGTTACCATACATCCTTTACTTAAAAAAAGTGTAAATGCTTTTTTAAAAAATATATCAAAATTGCACTTTTGCAAAATTATGTTGATATAATTAAAATGTAACTTTCTTTTTAAATAACGTATTGGTTCGCATGATAGCGCATTTGACTCGACACAGATTTCTCACTATTGTAATCCGCGTCCGCTCACACTTGTTTTCCAAAATTTAACTCCTTGAAACCAGCTCCATAAAATGTATCCAACATTCCACATATTTTCGACAAAGAGTTAGATATGCATCTGTTTTATTTATTTTTGATCGCCGTAATGTTTAAATATCCCTAGACCAAAGCAGAGACTTAGCCATTTCTGCTTAAATGTTTGGCATTAACCAGCCTAGTTTTTGGGGTTTCCAATACAAATACATAGAGCTTTCCATTACTGTTCTTACATATTTGACGGGACGGAAGTCGATACCCATCTTCATTGCCGGAAGGCTCCATTTCTTTTAATTCGTCCCATACATTATGAATTCAAAACAGTTACATTTTGTACGCGTTTTACCACTCATAAATTATGATTTTCAAAAGATTACCACTATGAAAAAGTACACATACTGTATTAAGAATTTTAATAATAGTAATTATCTTATGATGCTGTAAAGGCTTCACTTTTTCAATCAAAATATTTTAGAGGAATCGTTTAATACACTGGTATTTTTGGAACTTTATAATTACTTTTACCTGGAAATAACTTGATTACGCAAGCATGTAGTTCATCTCATTTTTAATATGCGGCTCAGTCTAAAACAATATATTTACGTCGTACATTTACTTATTAAGCTTGTACAAATATTAATATAATTATTATACCTCAATTGACCTCTTATCATCTGGATGCAATACGACTCTTATTTCTTTCAAATTAGCGTGCCTATAATGAAGCTTAAATTTCCAAAAAGCATTTCGCATTGTCCGAGCTACGTCACCCCAAGGGTATTGCAGCTTGCCAGTTCCCAAAACAGGGAATGCTATACTCTTGCATTTGTCTTTTTCCGCTTGTATGAGGCAGTTGTAAACTGCTTGTTCCAAAATCTAAAATAAGAAAATATCATTCATATTTATCATATCATAAGAAGAATATTCACATGTACGCTACTATTTTGAGGAAGAAACGTTTTCAGAAAAGAGATATCTGCATGATGTCAATGAACAGTGATCTTGTCATGGGATTTGTCTTACTAAATCTTTAGCTGTCTATGTAGTTCTTTGTGGAATGTGGAATGATCTTTGCGGAATGATCTTTGTTTTTTCTTTTTTTCTTTTGCCATGATATTTAGTGTTTTATTTCATTGATGGCGTTTATTGCCTCCATTTTCTAAAACAAAGATCTCTCTGGAACTAAATGACAGCTAATATACTGTGGATTCATTATTATTCGTGGGAGGTATGTTTTCGTGGATTTGGTTGGTATTGATTTTAATTTTCAACGAAGTACATTTTGTTAGGATGTATGCTGATTTTGCTAATACCACGAAATACAATATCAACCACAAAAATACAAAATTTCCTCAATCCACAAAAATTGTTGCCCACGAAAATACATGAATCCAGAATATTGTGAATATAGAAATTTTCACGCGATGGTAATTTTCTCTTATTTAGGAACTAAGCGTTATGAGCGAAAATTATCCCTGTGCATAAATTTGTTAAAACCTTATAATATTGATGAGAAATGCGAGTTTTTTTGTTAGTTTGCGCGAGAACATTTGTTTGTGCATTGGAATATAAAGAAAATAATAACCTGCAAATATATCAACGTTTAGAATATATTACTAAATTTTAAAATTTTCAATTTACTTGTTTGCAGTTGTGTTAAGTATGTATAATCATACACAAATATGATGCAGTACTGTTTTTGTTTGTTTTGAAATTTTGATATGTTAAATAAAAGAAAAGTAAGCAAAAAAGGGCATACAAACAACTTACGAACATGGAAAAGCCGGCAAAGTAAGTATATAATCTTCTCGAAATGCATGACAGTCGCAGGGAAAATAAAGGTTGATATTAATATTTTTACACAGTTTTGCTTACCTTCTTTGAAAATTCAGCATAAGCTGTCCATAATGGTAGAGCAAAATGATATATATATTTCCAGAATTTTCCTCCAGACGTTATCGCCAAGCTGCCATAGTCAATGCCATTTGGATATAGCTCGCGACATTCCTCAAACAGAGATTTTCCAACTTTCTTCAATATCAACGATGATACGGCTCCTTTGTCAAGCTGCAGCTCTTTGTTTGTACTGTTTACTATGATATCAGTCTAGAACGATGATACACATGAAACTTTCTGTTTTTATTCAAATATGAGCCACAGTGCCCTTAACCTTAACGATAATAAACAGTAATGCCATAATTTATTTGGAAAGGTATAATGAGCATCCACCAGAGACCAAATGACTTGAACGTAAGCAATTATGGGTTACTTCCAACAATTAACAAAACTTTAAACGTATGGTAAACTGTAGAAGGCCCAGAATCAACAAAACGAAAAAAATCTCAAAAAATGAAATACAGCTTGATTCATGATAATATTAAAATGTGGATTTTTACAAGGGGCAAGTATGAACTTTATAACAACAACTTAAATAAGCATTCATCAATAACTCGGTCAGCTAATTGAAACAGTTTACATATCTCTCTTAAATTGCATTATGAGTTTGACCTGCCGACACTTTTTCAATCGGAAAAAATATTGTTCATGAAATAAAAGTCGTCGAAACTTAATTGATCCAAATCCTGCGAAATGATATTTCAAATTATAATACCTTTTCGTAAATAATGTTTCCACGTATCCATTTGAAAGTTATATCTGAATGATTTTCTGAAAATGAAAAGTGTACTATATATTTACTGATAGATTCGTGAAGATATCTTTCAAAGGAAAAAAAATCGTTATTTTCAAATCATCTATTTTTGTAGAAAAGCAATGATTATCAGTACTTTTTTGCTGATATTTCCATTATCCTGTAGCTTATTTTAACGTAATTGTGACATCCTTCAAATGCTAAACGTTCTATAAAAAAGCAGAAAGAAGACGGTTTACATCACACACCGACATTTCATCTTTGAGGGAAAAACAGGGTGGTGATGGTTTGGGTGGGTGGGTGGTAAAGGGGGGGGGGGGGGGGCGGACGGGGGGGGGGGGGGGGGAGGGGGTGACAGAGAAATTTCCAGTTCATTCCTATGTACGCACGGAATTTAAATTACGTTATTTCAATTATGTATAATGAACGTAAAGATTACCTCTGAATTTTTTTTTAGCACTTTAAATGTACAGGTAGATAAAACAGGTGTATAAAAAGAAAATATTTCTACACGAAGATATTTTAAACAGGTTTACGGTATTTGAAATATCACTTAGTACATGATTGACAAACTGACAACATTTCAAGACAACAAATTGGTATATTCAGGCGCAAAACAAAGATTTCTATCATACAATCTCCGGAAACCGGAAACCGGAAACCGGAATATTAACAAACGTAACGAAAAATGTCACACAATTGTATAAGGAAACTGACAATATATCAAACTGAAACATATTTTTATATGAATCAAAATCTTCGATCTTGAAGTTTTCGAAAACAGAAAACATGAATATTTGTCAAATGAATGAAAATCAACCTGAAAGCATGTTGTCAACATTACCCAAAACACATACAGAATGAACTGAGATATTTAAAATTTTCAGAACACACACAAAAAAAACCAAGTATTAGAAAACAAGTAGGGTCAGCTTACCCGCCCGGATCACCTTAGGTCATCCCCGGTTTTTGGTGGGCTTCGTGCTGCTTAATATTTAATTTTCTCTGTCATGTCTGTTGTGTACTATTGTTTGTCTTTTCGACGTTTTACGTTAATTGCTATGTCATTGTCAGTTTGTTTTTGACTTATTGATGATTTTGATGGCCAAACTGCTCTGCATTGACAATCTAGCTTACATTTTTGGTATTTTTTTTTCAATCTTTAAATTTAAAGTATACTGACGGGCTTTAAAAATGCAACACTGGATTATATTATTAATTCTTATTTTCAAATATACATTTTTTTGTAAAATATATGTATACAAATAAATTTCATTCATTACATAATTGCCTAAAAATTGTTTGCAGTTCGAAAGTTGAATTGATTACGTCATATCTAATGTTCACGTCATATTGTATGCACTGATATCCTGGTTTTCCCTTTCAAAGGGATGTCTCACCGTCGAAGGCAATTACTACCTGTACCCAATGCCTAATTGATTGACAGAAAGGTCAACAATTTCTGTTGAGCATGTTTTGAGTTCTGGTCTCTGTCCGACCCATTGCTCAGTCTTAGCAATATGAAAATGCAAAATGTTTTACTGATGTAATTTTTGGCAAGGATTGTAAGAGTGTTTCACGGAGAAAAAAAAACTTTAAAATCATTCAATGGTTTCAAATGTCGATTTACAAAATTTATTCGACGCTAATAATCAGGAATGATAAATTACCTCAGGTAAATTGGGTATTGAGGTTGTCTAAAAAGAAAAAAAGTATGGTAAGGATAAATAGTAGTTATATGAAGATTCATCATAGTTTAGTAACAAAAAATCATAAGAAATCCATGTGGCGTTTTTAAGGTCATTATATTTCCTTGATTCCATCACAATATTTGAAGGTTGACTATTCTAATATAAAATATAAACTTTACATTCTGTGATGACAGAAAAACAGTTTATACATAAAATACAAAACAAGGTTTTCAGTAAAACTATTGAGTATTTTCTTTTGGTAGTAGAAGAGTAAATTCAGAAGAATAATATAAATGCCTATATGATATACATTAAAAAACAGAGAAGAAAGATTAATTTTAAAAAGAAAAAACAAACAGGACTTTTACGAATATTGAATTTTAAATAGAACAATCTTAATTCATGTAATTTACGGATATATTTTTCAAATTAGCGTTGAACTTTATAGATTTCTCCAGGGATACTGTTATCTCAAATTATATGTTTTGCGTATCAATTGCTGTTTAGCAATAAAATTTGCCAGCGGGTTACACAAACGACAAAGAAATGAGTTGAATATCCGGAATTAAGACAGAATGGGTTCAAATCCTCCCCTGATCATCCGGTAACGCCATAAACCGACATTTTTATCATAAGAATCAAATAGTGGGACGATGAAATCTAAGAATTGAAGAGTAATGAAAACCCAGAATATCAAATGTTTGAAATTGCAATTCTATAAAAATTGACAAAAATGCTCAAGTCATTAAGTAATCTTACGAAACAACTTTTGCATTTATATGGTAACCCTTAAATTTAACATCGTTTCGTCCTCTAAGAATTGAAAAAAAAACTCCAAAGTATTTTAAAAGTAATATCATTTCAATACAAATGTATTGTCGAATGGGATATTGCTCCAAATAGGAAAAAGGTGTTTCTGTGCTATATATATTTACTCTTACCTTCGTCCTTTAAAGATTTATCTCTATAGGTGGGTACTTTACTAAAATCGTAAAAGTTTAGTGACTTGTTTCCTCTTTTAAACATCGTAGTTAACGTTTGTGTTGTCTGGATGTTCTCAAAGCACAAATAAATAACTTTCAAATATTTTAGTTCATAGTGATAAAAAGCTGCATTAAAATGTTGTAATAACGTAACTTCAGGTAGGCTGTCACACATTTTCAATGGTATTGCGATGCTTTTAAGCTTTTCGTCCTCTACTTTGGTAAGCATTCCACGTAAATGAAGTATAACTTTGTCTTGATGTGGCATCTCTAAGTAGGGTAAACTCCAATACAGTTTCTTAGGAGATTCATTATCTATACTGTCGATATGTCGATCAACTATAAATATCAGAACAAATGCAATCACTCACATTATTTTGTCTGTTTTGTTTTCATCACAGATGCAAGAAGACTATGTGAAAATGAATAGGCGAATATCGGATTGTAGTACACATACAACTGTGTAGTACGTGTTTCTTGTTAAAGCAGTTGAGGCCAAGAAGACTAAAATATATTTGTGGTTACCAGTTGAAGATTAGAAAAAAAACAATCCTAGTCCTACCTCATATTAAGAAAGATGGGAGCCAAAACAATTTTTTTTAATCAATTCCTCGTAAATAATCGGCATTCGTGAATAACTCTGTTTTTTTTAATATTCTTGTTTGTTGTTGGTATACAGTTTATGTCAAATATCGAACATATTATAAATCTCAGAGATTACTACAATTAATACGATATATTTTTAGACTTAACCTATATATGTACAAATTACGGTTTCATAGAAGTTTGATTCGTAAGGACACCTATTCAAAGAGCTAATGTGTATAAAACAAATTAGTTGATTTGAAGACCAATGCTTTCATATCATCTCGTTATTACAAAGTCTGAGAAAACCGATATTTCCGAACCCCTCTGGCACAACAGCCTAATTCCATAGTAAAAGAACCAAAAAGTAACAAAAAATTGAAAAAGAAAGACTGCACGAAGAGATGTTTCTTGTATCACACTGAACTTCGTTGGTTGTATGCCATTTTATTTTCTGTTAAGGATTCTAGTATTAATTAATTTTTACATTTTGTCACATCAGGGGCTTTTATAGCTTACTATATGGTATGGGTTTTGCTCTTTGCTGAAGGTCGTATCGTAACCTGTTGTTGTTCACATATTTTTCATTGGATGGTTATTAATAGTTTTATCAGTAGCAATTATACCGCATCACTTTATTTTTTATTCTAAGAGAAGTTTACAATGCACACTATTTTAAATGATATTTACCTATTGTTAGATCAGCATGCCTTTTTCTCTTCGGATCTGATACGCAAACAACAGAATCTGTTAAAAGTGTTTCAGCACTTCCGCAAACCAAAACAACGTGAATACTTTTATCCCAATTCACACACTGGGCTACATATTGTATAGACGGATGTTGGATTTCTAATGATAAACTACATTTGAACTGTTCTTCTAGATGACGTATACGCTGCAAGATATTTCGGTACAGTGTACACTCGTTTGTGATGTAACAAGACCATCTTTTAGTCGATTGTTTCAAACCACCTTTAAAGAATTAAAAAAAATAAGTATTTTGTAATATTACTACTACTAGGGAAGTTTTTATTGAGCTTGACTATTTATTTAACCATCATATGACAAAATCGCAAATACATAAAAATAACGATAATCGAAACTATTTTACCGTCCAGATTCTAAAACTTAAGTGTCCTTGCAAACTCCCTGTTGAATATCCATCATATTTACAAACGTGTTGTGTGATTCTAGGTAAAATTCTTCACACACTGAAACGTGAAATCATCAGGTTTTTATAGTAAATTTGTCCGAAAGGTAAGATAAACAAGTGAAATTAAATTTATTCACGTGTACATTCAAAATCATTCTTTCAAGTGTTTCACTATATGCGAACAAATTTATATAATCCCGATTTGCATCTGATTTATTTATGATATTTTGGTATTTGTGGTAGCAATAATACAGCGATTACATTTTCATCCTTAAGACTTAAAAAGGCCAAAATTGTTCAAAGTCGACAATATTCATTTGTACACAAACTGATACAAAAGTACGTGTTTAATCCAACTATATGTAGACAAATTGTTAATGATATGTTGCCTTTTCCGGGTGGCATAATCCTAATTAAAATTACCGTCGTCAAATAAAGTCAAAATGGCGGCTTTTCAAGTAAGTACAAACATAATAATATGAATACAAGGACTTGTTGGATATATGTCAATGTGAGATCAAATAACTCAAACGACACTATCAATTATAGCTTGCACTGTTTAGCCATTCCATAACACATGATTCCAACCAGCATGCATTGTGGAGTTCGTATTGCTTAAGCTCGATTCTTAGCTTTTTGGTTATGATCTGTGAACAATGGTTTGCTTATTCATTTTTTTTTAAATGTCTGTGTGTCTATCTTCGAGAATAATGTTTATTGTTCATTTTTACGTTAAAAGAATAAAAAAAGATGTGATATGATTGCCAATGAGACAACTATCCACCAACATTCAAATAAAGTTGACGTAAGTAAATATAGGCAACCGAACAACCTTCAACAATGAGAAAAACCCATACCGAATATCTCGAAATGAAAAATATGAAACAATTAAATTGGGAAATTCATAACTAAACAATTTACGAAAAACAACTATGACAGACATGGAATAGGCTTATAAAGCATATGGCGGGGTTAAACTTGTTTGAAGGTGCCAACCCTCCCTAACCTAGTAAAGTGGTGTAACAGTACAACATAAGAACATAATGTTGGTTAGTTTTAATTACGTTTGGCCATTTTATCCCTTGTTAACAGTATTACCTCTATATGTTTAAGTCAGTATATACTGTTTAAAGTGAGATTAAAGAAGAAACGCGGGATATTATATATTTTTTTATCTTCACATAGCGATATGGGCTAATATTTCCTGTCAGTGTTTAATATCTCTTGAGCCGCGAAGGGGATATAAGGCACTGATAGAGAATAAGAGCACATACCCCTTCTGAAGCCCGAATAAGAATTATATTATACTGGAATGTCCTAACTTCAACACTTATTACCATTTCTATCTTTATCTTCCTTTACAAGTGATATGGGCTCATATAATCTGTTTAGGTAACCAATCAATTTGAAGGATTAACCGGAATATTTGACTCCAGTATAATATAAAATATATTAAAGGAACAGCAACGAAACGTATGGCCTTCAAAGATAAGACAAAATTATATTGTAGAATAAGCTTAACCTATTTTTTTTTTATAAAGCAAAGTCCGGGGATGAAAAATAATATGTCGCATTTCAAAAAATGATAAACAAACAGCCTGGTTAATGCAACAACAATACTTGTAATCAAAAATCAATTTCAAATACTCTGAATAACGAATACCTGGATAAGTGAGGAATGGATTAACAATATGAGACCTTGCATATGCCCCGCTTGCATTATCATGTGTTCATGTTCATTGAACTGTCAAAGCAGGGTCAAAATGATGAGTTTGCATACAATTAATAATGTTTGTCTCACAATCTACATGTGCCTCCAAAAAAATTGAGACCCCACCTTCATGGTTAATTACATTTGTGTACCTCAACCACAACCGTTTTACCCAACAATGTACTTATTTCACATATTGTATTTCTGTGATCCTTAAACCATGATACATGGTTAACACGGTTATTTTATATATTTTATAAATAAAAAGTCCACATCAAAATCAACACGTTTCAACTTCATACGACCACAATTTCATAGTAAACTGTATTAACGAAAAACTTCATACAGACGGACTAACAGTTGATTGGAAGAACAGACGAACGCACTGACCAGAAAAAAGTAATACCTTAGGCGAGGCAAACAAAAGATACTCCAATAAACATCAATGTACTATTTGCAGAAATGTGTCCGTCACTGATAAAGTTTAATGTATATGTAATTATGTTAAGTTTATTGTGAAATGCAATGTCAATGATAATCTAGAAACTCAGATCATCATTCTCCAATTAAGTAATTCGGTAACTTAACGTAACTGTACCTTAAAGGTATATAGTTAAAAAGTCTTTTATTTTCTTTTCCTGATCGTCCGGTGACATATAAGCAGCTTTAAAATAAATTATTCTGTTACGTCAAAGTATATTACAATATATTTATACTAACCATCATTAGAGCAAAATGTTTCGTCATAATCACTACTGAAGTCTGCACTGTCAAATGATTTACAAGAGATCAAATATGATATCCTGAAAAAAACCAATTGTGTTTGCTTCATGAAATTTTAAATAACGCAATTTATGCACAATAATAAACATGTAATACTACAGTTATTATAGTATCAACTTCTTAATTTACATTGATTTGGCATTAATTTCTATCTGAGGATTTATTCCAATTGAGTATAATTAAAGTGATTTAAAGTCAAATAGTTATTATAGAGAAAACTAAAACAATGAATAATGAAATTATTATGCAGACAACAAAAATTATGTTGCTGCATGTCTGTTTATTTTTTCATAACAAAAATGACATGTTGAGAACAGTCAGGACAAAATTTGTCTCGGTGTGGACATATTTTCCTACTTAAAAATCGTTACTTTTTATGAATTCATTAACCGAAGGTTCGGGAAGAAAAGAGATCAAAGCAAAGTAATGCTGAATATCTATGCAAAGTAAATGTTGTTTATAATCTTAAGCAGGTATATTATTCGAGAAAACAAAATAAAAGTAGATAGAAAATGCCACGGAATTAAATGATTAAAGAATTTCGAAACAAAAAAGTGATATTTCAGGTAAAGCAGAAATAAATTTATTTACATAACAACTTGCAATTCAACAAGGATTTATCAATATTTTATATACATAAACCTTATCTAATATTTGATAATAAACATTGTTTACACTGAATATGCACAGTACAGCTAACCTCGACCAAATACGACTGTATGGTGATATAATACAGGACATGAAAACCCCAATTGTATGACACTTTTATAAACCGATGACTTAAAGGAACCACAAAAAGCTGACTGAGAACAAATACGCTCAAATGAAGCCTAATACAGAATCAATATGAGCAAATTGTGTTAAATTTCATTTGAATGCAAGGAATATCGAATAGCATTGAATCTAAAGATGTGCCATGTAATCCTCTGTGATTCACCGGCAAATAGCACTTTGAGCCTCTCGATTTAAATATCAGTTATCTCCCATCAAAATGACGTTATTGACGTATGTAAACAAAATAGCAACGGCCAGGTTAGACGTCCGCCAAATGACGATGAAACAAGTATTGGAAATTTATCTGGTGCTTAGGATAGCTTTCATAAACGGACCCTTTCAGTTCCATGAATGTTTTACAGAAAGAGTCTATCTTTGTTGTATTTACGCGTATACGAAGCATGTAGGGGTTTGTGTTGCTCAGTCCTTGTGTTTTTTGTGCTGTTTTTTTGTCTTTTCGTCGTTTTTTACAGTGGCATTGTCAGTTTGTGTTCAACTCATGACTTTGAATGTCCCTTTGGTATCTTTTGCCTCTCTTAAAGGACACAGAATAATTCTCTGACATATCTGACGTTTTGACTGTCTGTTATTAAATAGGATATGTGCAATAGCTTCTTTAACATGTATATTCAATGGTTCAAAAGTCCCTTCTACTATTTGATCTGAATATTAAAACAGCCGTGTTCCCATAGAAACGGATCAAATAAAACATTGCCGACCAATAAATGTTATTTCACTTCGGACTTCCCCTCTTAAAAAAATTTCTTTTACGGTTGGACATTCTGATATTTGGCGTAATAAACACTTCCATTTTCTGACAATTTACATTGAATTTAAAGTCATTGCTTAATAAATGTATTCATGAATTATATGCATTACGTATACAATTTATCAATTACCTGTATTCCAATTTTTTAAATGATTCTAACTCATGTATAGAAACGATCATAAATGCACGTGAACCTTGTGGGATATGATTTTATTATTGGTAAATTCTTAAGAACACTTTTTTTGGAAAAAAAATCCTGAAATTATAATATGACTGTAGAAGCAATTGTTACTTAAGGGTCAATATCTGTTTACATGTACATATTTCCATAACGATTACATGTTCTTCTTCAAATGGCAAGGGCTATTTCTTTTATTTGAACATGTACATCAGCAAATAGATTGGTTCCTAATTACATGTACTACTTTACTCACCCTTTCCTGGGAATAGCTATTATAGATAAAAGTATATTTATTTTAATTAGAAAGTTCAGAGAAAACTTTCCAGTTAAAAGGAAGATTAAGACTTTTATTTAAATGAGATATCTTCCATTTGTTACTTTAAAATAAAAAAAAATGGAAATTTTTACTAACAATAAATGCAAAACACGTATTTACAGAACATACGAAAATGTTGATGCAACATTTCAAAAATCTTTTTCAAGATATTTATGTTTATTTGTACGTTTTCTTACTTTTGACGTGCAAAATTGACATAAACATGTCAATGATTGTATTGAGTTTTTTCTTTCAGTCGTCAATTATCTCGCATTGATTCTCTGCAATGCACGGTGAAGTTTACCAAAAGTAGTAAGTTAAAGACAAGTTATCCTATGAATATAACAACATTCTTTAAAATTATTATTTTCTTTATGTGTTCTTTTTCTATGTAATCAAATAAGTCTTTCATTTCATGTTTATTGTCAACATATGTATCAATGTGAAGAAGAGATGAGGAAAATACCAAGAGACAATAAAAAGTCATAAGTCGAAGACAAATCGACTACGCCATCGAAAAGACAAAAACAATCTTCAAACAACAACAAAGAAAACCAAAAACCGAACAATACGAACCCCACAAATGGTAACCACAAACGCTCTGTACTTCAAAAAATGATCACGATTTTTGTTTGTTAATGTAACCATATACTGTTAGCTATGAAATACCATACTTTTAATCAAATTGCAGAAAGTGGGATCACTATTCATTTTTCTTTTCCTAGCAATCCTGTGACAAATAAACGATAAAAGTAATATACGACATTTATGTTTCAAATTCAATTACATAAGTACCATACTATATCATACTAACCATCAGCGTCAAATTCGTCATTTGAGAATGTACACTTGTTCCCGACAAAATCGCTACCTTCATAATTTTCATTGTCAGATGATGAACAGGACATACTAGATAATATTCTGGAAAAAAGTTTTGGTATTTTGAGAAATTGAAAAAAAACGCTGATTTATGTTGCAAAGAATTTACAATAATGTAAGGTTACAGATAGTATAGTATAAACTTACTTTTTTGTTTCTGTCAAAAAACATTGATGTCGATTCAATTTAACTAAAGAAATTGCTTTCATTATGTACATTACAAGATATTTAAGTCAAAAGATAAACTTGCAAATAGTCATTACAGAGAAAACAAAAACAATAAATAAATAAATATAGTAAATGAACAAAATTAATATGTTGGTGTGTGTCTGCTCTTATTTCATATGAAAACGAAAAATGTTGATAATAGACAGGAAAACAACTTTTGGTATTTAAATATTTTCCAACTTAAAATTGCTCTGCTATGAATTCCATAACTGTAGTTTCAGAAAATATGTAAAAGAAAGGGGGTCGAAGTTTAAATATGATTTCTAACTGTATTTGGTAAAAAGTTCGGCATTGAAAGTCCTCAATGCTCTTTCATTTAGTTTTTTATTTTGCCGTTTAATTTTTTTTTATTCGAGCGTCACATATCAACCTTGCAATTGAAAACAAAAGGGGTTTGTAACCATTTTATACATAAATAATGATCAATTTTTAATATGGGATAACTAAAAACTGTATGTGTACAGTTGAATTCTTATCTAAAATTTGATAGGTTTTAGCCGGGGGAGGGGGGATCAAATAATACATTGCCAACCAATAAATATTATTTCTCTCCGTACTGCGACCTCAAAGAATAAATTTTTTACGGTTGGAAATTATGATATTTGGCGTACTGCACATTTCAATTTTCTGACACCTTATTGAACCTATATCCAAAAGTAAAAATCCTGTATTAGACCAGTAAAAACTCTGTATTAGACCTGTATTAATGATTAGTTTTTCAGACATATGGAATCGTAATACATTGACAACTTAAATTGTATTCTGAATTATTGCTAATTAAATGTATTCATGAACTATATGCACTTAAGAACACTTTTTTTAGAAACTAAATTCTGAAATTATGATATGGCTGTAGAAGTATTTCTACTTGAGGGCCAATATCTGTTTACATGTACATATTTCCATAACGATAACATGTACTTCTTCAAACGACAAGGACGTTTTGTTTTTATTTGAACATGAGCATTAGCGAATAGATTGGTTCCTAATTACTTGTACTACTTTACTCACCCTTTCTTGGAAATAGCTAGTATAGATAAAAGTATATTTAGTATAATTCGAAAGTTGAGAGAAAACTTCCCTGTTAAAAGGAAGGTTAAGACTATAGAGCAAATGATATATCTTCCGTTTGTTAATTTTAAATCAAAGAAATGGAAAGTTTAATGACAAAAAGTGCAAAACACGTATTTACAGTACATACGTAAATGTTGCTGCAACATTCAATAATCTTTTGCAAGATATTTATGTATATTTGTACGTTGTCTTACTTTCGACGTGCAAAATTAACACAAAAATGTCAATGATTTTATTGAGTTGTTCTTTTCAGTTGTCAATAATCTCGCATTGATTCTCTTCAGTGCACGGTGAAGTTTACAAAACGTAGTAGGTTAAAAGACAAGTTATCCTACGCATATAACACCATTCTTTAAAATTATTATTTTCCTTATTTGTTCTTTTTCTTATTAGTCAAATGAGTCTTTCATTTCATGCTTATTGTCAACATATGCATCAATGTTAAGGAGAGAGGCGAAAGACACCAAGATACAATTCAAAGTCATAAGTCGAAGACAAATCGACTACGCCATTTGACTAAACAAAAACAGTCATCAAACCATAACATAGACCAAACACCGAACAATATTAACCCCACAAATGGTATCTTTTAACGCTCTGTAATTCAAAAATTGATCACGATTATTTTTTTTAATTGTAACCATATACTTTTAGCTATGAAATACGATATTTTTAATCAAATTGCAGGAAGTGGGATCACTGTTTATTTTTATTTTCCTAGCAACCCTGTGACAAATAAACACTAAAAAGTAATATACGACATTTTTGTTTCAAGTTCAATTACATAACAATATTCATACTAACCATCAGAGTCAAATTCGTCATTTGCGAATTTAGACTTATTTCCGACAAAATCGCTACCTTCATAATTTTCATTGTCAGATGATGAACAGGACATACTAGTTAATATCCTGGAAAAACGTTTTTGATTTTTGAGAAATTGAAAAAACGCTGATTTTTGTTGAAATGAATTTACAATAATGTAAGCTTACAGATAGTATAGTATAAACTTACTTTTTTGTTTCAGAAAACATGGTAAAAACATTAATGTCGATTTAATTTAACTAAAGAAACTGCTTTCATTATGTATATTACAAAAGATCTAAGTCAAAAGATAAACTTGCAAATAGTCATTACAGAAAAAACAAAAACAATAAATCAATAAATATAGTAAATGAACAAAATTAATATGTTGATGTGTGTCTGCTCTTATTTCATATGAAAACGGAAAATGTTGATAATAGACAGGAAAACAACTTTTGGTATTTAAATATTTTTCAACTTAAAATTGCTCTGCTATGAATTCCATAACTGTAGTTTCAGAAAATATGTAATAGAAAGGGGGTCGAAGTTTAAATATGATTTCTTACTGTATTTGGTAAATATTTCGGAATTGAACATCGTCAATGCTCTTTCATTTCGTTATTTATTTTACCGTTTAACTTTTTTTATTCGAGCCTAACTGATAAGTCTGTTGTAGACAAAACGCGCGTCCGGTGGAATTTGTTTTAACCCAGCTATATATATGTTGAGTTTATATATATTTTTGCGCTAAATAATCGTGTGAAAGTAAAGGAAGTAAAATAAATCAAATTCTTCAGAGGGTATCTTATTCGATGATCGCGAAACCCTTTGAATAATAAAAGTGATGTTTCATGTTAAGCAGAAATACATCAATTCACATATCAACCTTGCAAATGAAAACAAAAAGGGTTTTTAACCATTTTATACATAAATAATGATAAATTTTTAATATTGGATAACTTAACACTGTATGTGTACAGTTGAATTATTATCTAATATTTGATAGGTTTTAGCCGAGGGAGGAGGGATCAAATAATACATTGCCAACCAATAAATATTATTTCATTCCGTACTGCGCCCTCAGAGAAATAGTCTTTTACGGTTGGACATTCTGATATTTAGCGTAATGCACATTTCCATTTTCTGACACCTTTTTGAACCAATATCCAAAAGTAAAAATCCTGTATTAGACCAGTAAAATTTCTGCATTAGACCTGTATTTATGATTAGTTTTTCAGACAGATGGAATTGTAATACATTGACAACTTAAATTGTATTCTAAGTCATTGCTAAATAAATGTATGCATGAACTATATGCACTTAAGAACACTTTTTTTCAAAACTAAATTCTGAAATTATTTCTGAAAGTAATTGCTACTGGAGGGTCAATATCTGTTTACATGTACATATTTCCATAACGATAACAGGTATTTCTTCAAACGACAAGGACGTTTTGTTTTTATTTGAATATGAGCATTAGCGAATAGATTGGTTCCTAATTACTTGTACTACTTTACTCACCCTTTCTTGGAAATAGCTATTATAGATAAAAATATATTTAGTATAATTCGAAAGTTGTGAGAAAACTTCCCTGTTAAAAGGAAGGTTAAGGCTATTGTGCAAATGATATATCTTCCGTTTGTTAATTTTAAATCAAAGAAATGGAAAGTTAACTGACAACAAGTGCAAAACAATATTTACAGTACATACGAAAATGTTGATGCAACATTTCAAAAATTTTTTGCAGATATTAATGTATATTTGTACGTTTTTTTTAATTTCGACGTGCAAAATTAACACATAAATGTCAATGATTGTATTGAGTTTTTCTTTCAGTCGTCAATAATCTCGCCTTGATTCTCTGCAATGCACGATGAAGCTTACCAAAAGTAGTAAGTTAAAAGACAAGTTATCCTATGCATATACCAACATTCTTTAAAATTATTATTTTCCTAATTTGTTTTTTTTCTTATTAGTCAAATGAGTCTTTAATTTCATGTTTATTGTCAACATATGCATCAATGTTAAGGAGAGAGGCGAAAGATACCAAGAGAAAATTCAAAGTTATATTAAAGTCGAAGACAAATCGACTACGCCATCGAAAAGACAAAAAATAGTCTTCAACCCACAATATACAAAACCGAAGACCGAACAATACGAACCCAACAAATGGTATCTGTTAACGCTCTGTAATTCAAAAATTGATCACGATTATTTTTTTTTGTAACCACATACTGTTAGCTATGAAATACCATACTTTTAATCAAATTGCAGGACGTGGGATCACTGTTCACTTTTCTTTTCCTAGCAATCCTGTGACAAATAAACGCTAAAATGTGATATACGACATTTCAAGTTCCATTACATAGCAATATTTATACTAACCACCAGTGTCAAATTCGTCATTTGAGAATGTAGACTTATTTCCGCTACCTTCATGGTTTTCATTGTCAGATGATGAACAGGACATACTATATAGTTTTCTGAAAAAAGTGTTTTCTCTATGAGAAATTAATATAAGGCTATACCAAATTAATTTCTAGTTCTTCGGACTCTTTCCTCAAAAAAGGGTAGCGAACGAACGAATTTTTTTTTAAGTTTGATTTTTGGCAGGCGACAGAATATTTTCTAGCGAGCGATATAATTTTTGAATATTATTACCGTGGATTATTTTTCTAGAATCAATGCTTTCTAAATGAACTCACAAAATTATATTCAATTGTTTTCTTTGTGTGCCTAACTTCAATAAGTTTGAATTGGCTTTTTTACTGATTTATGTTCCCTTATGGAATTAATTTAAAAACTAACCTATAATTTTTTTAATTTTTATATATGCCTTCACTGGGAATCGAACCCCTCCTTGAAATAATGAAATTGTGTCCCCTTTATCACATATTAAAGCAGATTTCCTTCAAATTCGTTTAACATTCCAAGTTTGATATTCACTACAAACATCAATTTCTAATATACAATATCTAAAAGCTCCCCTTTTGCAGACAACGATCTGTTGGGCTACCCTGTGAGCTGTCATGAATAAGTATGATTGAACCTGATACATCTAAGGTTAACGATAGATAACGTTTGAAGTAATAAACAATCGAATCACAAAGAATGGTCTGACTTTTAAAAATTTTTTTTTTGTGTCTTTTAGAAATGTTATCGGAATTTCTGAAAAAGTTTGGTCATTACTCCTTATGTTATGTATGTGCATTGAGAATTAAATCATATTCATTATATCATTCTACTAATACCCCAAAATTGTGTCGAAACGCAACGATAACTAAGGTGGATAAAAAAGTGATATTTTGTCAATTTGTGACATATATAAAGTATCATCTTGACCTCGACGATATTTTTTTTTTAGATTCTAACTGAAAAGAACAATGTAATTTATTTAGATTAATTGTTTATATCTTTGGTATTTTTTTTAAAAGAAAGGAAGCATAAACATTTTTTATTTCTTATTCATGAGGTTTGCACATTTCTTTTTTAAACTAATGAGAAATCGGCTTAAATTTTTGAAATATTCATAATATTCTTTTCTTGTTTTGTATATCGAAGGTTCAGAACTATTTTACGAAAAGATCCACAATATATGTGCAACTTACTTGATGTTAGGTATCCACATTCATCGGTATAAATACACTATTTTGTACTTCCTGTATGTTGACAATATATATGTAGTCAAAGGAAAGAGTTATATAGCGACATGCCTGATTATTTATCGGTTGGTGAAATTCTTTTTCTTTTTAGTGTTTGCTTTTTAGATTTCTTTAAGTTAAGGTTCTTTAATATTTCAACTTATTTTTCTTTATTTAATATAGTCTTGCTCTTATCCAATAAATCTTGTAATGACAGTTGTTTTAACGTGATGTTCCTCTAATGTGGAAAATTAAAACAAAAAACGTTGAATATCAAAACGGAACCAAAAAGGGGGATTTATGCCCTTAACGCTTCTTTGTAGAAAACGTACGAAACAAAAGGTAAATTGATTTTTTTTTATTATTTGTAATTCTGTGTGCTACGAATGATTTAATTTGCATGGTGCAGTTGTATTACAATAGATATAGGAAGATGTGGTATGAGTGCCAATGTGACAACTCTCCATCCAAGTTACAATTTATAAAAGTAAACCATTATAGGTCAAGGTACGGCCTTCAACACGAAGCATTTGCTCACACCGAACAGCAAGCTATAAAGGGCCCCAAAAAATGCAAAACTATTTTAGATAGTAATGGGGTACTTTTTACCTCACGTGTGTTGATAAATAAACGCATTTATGGTATGTATGATATATATTTACAAACATATATATCGAGAAGATCGATGTACAACCTTTTACACATTTCTTACAGGAGTTATCTACCATTTCTCATACTATAAAAACATTGTGACTGAGTAAAGAATATGTCAAAACAAAGATTTATATAGTACTACATGTATACAAATCCTTGGTTACAATACAAATAGAATTAGATAACACACAAATATTGTATACTTCATTGTTTTCTCAGAAACATGTATCAATATGTGCAGAACTACAATGTACGCTTTTATTCGTTGAGTACTTGTTCAATGGAAATTTAAATAAATGTTTACAATTTTGACAACTAAGAGTCTATAGCTGAGACATTTAAATAAGGTATCATCTTAATAGTATAAATGCTTTTAAGATGACCCCGTATTATTTATCCAGAATGAGAACTATTTCATAGGATCTATCTATTAGATGTTAATCAATTAAATCAAAATTAATCATGATATAGTTTGTTTAACCTATTGTTTTAAAGGTTTATTCCACGATAAAGCATGACATCTTTTCCATCCGAACAGAATACAAACCAATTCTTCACTACATTATTTTTTTTCTATCCAAACCGATATATGCTTTGTCTCACGATCCTTAATACAATCCACAAACACACTTTACAATATATATCCAGAATGGCATTTTTTTGGTAAACGAATCTAATGCTCCATAATACAACAACTTCTACATGTATACGTAACATACTCATCTGCGCTTAATGAAAGCCGTGTAGGTTTATCCCAAAATGCATAATACAAGAGACTAACACTCCTGAATACTGCTAAATATTCATAGTACGTCTGAAATGAGGTGTTTTGAAGTTCTATCCCACAATGCACGAAATAAACTACTTCTTCAATCTACATTTTTTAGCCAAAAAGACAACTGTTTTTAGGTCTACCTATTAGAGATTTCCAATAAAATGACTTTACTCGACATAACCGACCTAACTCAACGTATTTCGTCCTATTGCATTGAAGCATGACGGAGGGGAGCATACGCTGCATGCACTTTTTGCTTTTGGAACACGCATTTTTTGTTGATATAGACTTAATGTAAAAATCGATCCCAACTACTTTTTTTAATCTTTAAATATTTTGTTATTAAATTTTGAATGAATTTATTGACAAAAATATTTTAATGGAATACTTAAGCTATCAACTTGTAATCAAATACACCCATCATTTCTCGTCATTTCACTTGACCCACATTTCAGTTCTTCTCAAAATGTGAATTTTAAAAACTACCAAATAAATATTTAGCATGAAAATATTAAGATAATGAAATCCGAAGCGAGAAGTTTATCTTTTTGTTTTTTGTTTTTATAAGTTTTAACGTTTAAAAAGTAGATTCCAACATACCCGAAGGTAAAAGGTGTACGCGACTAACTTAAAAAAAAATTCTATAATTTAATTCAAGATAATTTGACAGAAATTTCTATCATTGATACATTTATCAAATAGTATGTTTTAGTCTTCAACTATAATAATGCATGGGACGAGGTTTTTGTCCATGTATACCTAAACGTACATTCGCAGATACAGGGGTAGAGGGCGTACTCCCCCCTTCGGATCTTCAAATAATTTTGAAAATCTCACTTTTTCCACGTTATCTATACAAATGTTTAATATCCAATCGTCTAATTTTTTTTCGCGTTGCTCCGCTCGGCAGTAGAAATTCAATTATCGGGAACTATGCCCTCTTTCAAATATCTTGGATCCGGCCATAATCACAAATTGTATGGCACCAAAAAGAAATTAAATGATTGTCGTTTGCCTTTGATAAATACGTTTTAAAAACAACAATGTTTGAACATTAATTTAGACATTTCGCACGAGATTTAAAAGTTTAAGACTACAAACTGAATTAGATTTTTTTCCTGGATTTAGAGCTCACATAACACGGAAATGTGATACTGGCGTGTAATCTAATGGACACATATTCTCGTTTCTGATGTTTCTTTTAATATAAATATTCATTTATTTAGCTATGTATAATTCCACTAACAAATAATCACGTATCTTTTACTGATAAATTATCATTACATTTTATAGAAACTACATATAATCTGCTATACAGTTATGAACACTAATGGTCCTACAGATACTCTGTGCTTTTGACATGACACAAGGTCTTGCTTTTGTTGAGTGTTTTTGTACTTTTTTATTTAATTTGTGATATGTACAAAAAAAAGAAGATGTAGTATGATTGCCAATTCGACAACTCTTCACAAGAGACCAAATGACAGAGAAATTAACAACTATAGGCCACCGTACGACCTTAAACAATGAGTAAAGCCCATACCGAGTAGTCAGCAATAAGAGGCCACACAATGACAAATGTAAAACAACTACAACTATAAAACTAACGGCCTAAATAATGTACAAAAAAATGAACGAAAGCACAGCAACAAACGATAACCACTGAGTTACAGGCTCTTTACTTGGGACAGTCACATCCATACATAATGTGGCGGCGTTAAACATGTTAACGGCCCACTTACCTAATACAGTGGTGTAACAGTACGAAACAATTGATTAATATTAGATAGACTGGATAATTATTCTGTATTTATTAGTTGTAGTTGTTTTTAAGATAGTGTTCAGTAGCTGTGAATACTCTAAGATCGGTACATGGAGTTTATTACGAAATACTAAGTACTAGTAATTGCTAACTGTTTTAATTGTGAGTAGACATGATCATTTGATAAACATACTTCTATGATCTCTATTAGCTTTAACTTGGACATTCATAAAAACTATGTAGAAAAGAGATGCATGCGCAAAATAAGTTCTCGACATAAATTGGCTAAAATATCAGATAATAATTTAGCCTCAAGCTATGATACTTACAAGCTATAATAAATACGACGAATGTTTAGCCTCAAGCTATAATACTTATGATGATGATGATACTGATGTTTGTCTTATATCTAGCGACAAATATTACATAATTATATATTAAGGATGATGAAATGATAATGATAAGTAATTATACATTTTTGTACATGACTAACACTTACAGTCGCATTTTTATATGCTAGATAAATCAGCGTACCCGATACAAAGACACACTTGTCTTTCTTCGATTAATCCAACACCTGCTCTTACTCGTGAATGCATCACGCTTGGTGGTGAAGCCGAAAAATCCAGTCTTAAAATAATTCGATCAGGGGGTCCAACAAAATAATTGAACCCGTAATCGAGGCTAATCTGCTACCAGTCAATCCCATATTTAATAAAAACCTGTTTATATATTTTATGCTTTATGTACATATATTACTATTCTAGCAACACTTGTTTTGTTGCATAATTTGTTTGGTTTTTCTCCTTGTTTCTTTGTATCGAAAAGTTTAGATTTTATTGTAAAATGGTGTTTCACAGCTTCCATTATCCTTGTGACTTGCTATTGTATTAATATCCAGTAGGCATGTAATTATTATTCTAAATAGTATAAAATATTTTTTAACAAGTAAAGATTACCCCGTTTTGATCCAGACTTCCTTACCACTAGCATCTAAGATACATACACTGATAAAATATTGTATCTGCACTCATGTTGCAATCACTCTGTCTGTCCGTCCGCCAGTCTGTCCCGGTTCAACAAATATTTTCAATTTTCTCTTCAAAAGCATTAGTATGCTTAGCATGCATTCTTTTTTCGATTTATTCCTTACACTCCGACATGTATATACCTGGATCCGTTTGGAGCGTCCAACTATCAAAAAGAGTCCAAATAGCGACTACAGTGGCTCGTGCTGTCGTCAACAATAAGCAAACACTCATACCGTATTATGGATACTATAGTATATCAGGCATTGACTTTGAAAAATGTAAACAATTCAAACGAAAATAAACATTTTTACAAGAGTAAAATTAACCTAAAAATGACAGAAAGTAACCAACGACATCCACTGAATTGAAAGCTCCTGACTTGGGGATAGCCAATATAGAATTTGACCTGATTAAACGCGTTTACCAGCGCTCAACACTCTGGTGTAACAGCACAATATAAGAAGAAAAAAACCTGTAAAATTCAGTTGGAAACAGGTCAACTAATCAATATTGAATTAAGCCTAAAACAGTTACATTTTTATAATGAAAGACAAAAAGTACCGATCTCAAAGTACCCACAGGTACTGAAAGCTAATTCTTACATGTTAAATTACCTGAGAATATTAAACGTATTTAGTTAAAAAATAATAAAAAAAATAAGGAGATATGGTATGATTGCCAATAAGAAATGAAGTGGATGTAAGCAATGACAGGCAAACGTACGGCCTTCATCAATGAGAAAAATCCATACCGTATAGTCGATTATAAAAGGAACCAAC